TTTTAACCGCCTGGCTTTAACAAAAAAATATATTCTTTGTATTGGTTTTTTTTTTTTTTTTTTAAACAGCAATTCATTCTTCCATGTGTAGGAAGCAGCAGTTCCATCTAGGATTCAAAACAACCCAGATGTCTGAATTTTTCAGTACAAAATGTCCAAGAACACGAAAGGAAAAAAAAAAAGTGATGCTCCCATAATGCTACAAACCCTCCACAAATTTTTCTAATGTGTCCCCGGTGGTGTCACCGACCAGAGACAATTCGTTAGACAACGCACTCCTGTTCGGGGTGTTTAGTTGTGGAAGCATTGCACTCTGTTCTGGGTTGCCCAAGTGTCCCTGATCCATGGAGCTAGCCATAGTAACTGCGAGTCCTGGGTGGGGGGAACCAGTCTGGGGAGAGACGTGGTGAGGTGACGGTTGGGGCTGTATCCTGGGTGACGGGCTGGAATGTGGTGGCTGGGACTGGGGACGGGGAGACTGAACGGGTGCTGGGGACCGCACCTGGTTGCTGAGGGAGGTGGCGATCTGCTGGCCAGGGAGATGAGACGCCTGCGGTTGTCCTGAGAGCATGTGCTGCTGTGGGCTCATGGGGTTAGGCTGGCCGGGGGACCCTATCTGCTGTTTCATCTGCTGCTGTTGCAGGATCCGCTGCTGCAGTGCTTGCTGGATGTTGGGAGTGCCGTCTGCCCCCATGCCGGGCTGGCCCATCTGGTTCAGCTGTCCCATCTGAGCCATCTGTCCCATGGACCCCCCCTGTATCGATATATGCTGCTGCATCCGCTGCTGCTGCATGGCTTGAGGGTAACCTCCTGGTCCTTGAGGCTGCTGGAACTGGTTGTGTCCTGCCATCCCTCCTGCCATGCCAGCCCCTCCTTGCTGCTGCTGCTGTTGCTGCTGCAGTAATTGCCGCCTCAGTATTTCTCTGTACTGCGGACTCATGTTTGCCATGCTGGGGTTGTGGCCGGGGTTCATAATGTTTATCGCTTGTCCCTGGGGATTCATAGCTCCTATCCCTTGCTGCTGGGGAGGAACGCTCGGTCTCTGCACTCCCGCTTGCATCGCGTTCATGTTCTGCAATCCTGCTTGAGCATGCATGCCTGGCTGTTGCATGCCGGTCTGCGGCTGCTGCATCCCAGGCTGGGGCTGTATGCCTGCTTGCGGCTGCATCCCAGGCTGGTTAGCCACGTATTTGGCTGTTCTTTGCTTTATAAAAGCTGCCATAAGCTGAGGGTTGGATTTAAGGATATTAAGAACCTGCTGTTGCTGCTGCGGAGAACTGGGTGATTTCAAGGTCCTCAGTAAGTCCTGAAGTGCATTCGGGGGGATGCTCCGTGGCGGCTGCTGCACGCCCGGCATCCTTGGCCCAGCCACTGCTTGTGGCGTCGCCATTGGCATAACCGGTCTGGCCATTCCCGGCTGCATCGGTTGCTGCTGCGGCATTGGAGGTGACTGCCACTGTCCTGGCTGCATGTTGGACATCACTGGACCGCTTACAGGGTTGGGCCGGGGTACATTCATGCTGACTTGCTGCATCTGGTTCACTGAACCCACCGTCGGGTTTACTAGTCCTGGGCGACCAGGAGGCAAACCATTGTTAATGTTGTTGACCCTGTAGAGCTGCTGCTGCTGCTGGGCAGCTTCTCTCTCAATCTGCCGAGCCGCTTCCACTGCGGCCGGCGGAGGCTGAGCCGGAGGTGGAGGTGCAGAAACCGGGTTTGCAGGTTTTCCTGTTGAAACAGTAGTAGGGGGCTGAGTTCTCGACACACTGGGAAAGCCGGCCGGTGACATACTTACAGGGGAAGGCTGGGGCTGGGGAGCAGGCTGTGGTGTTTGCGGTGTACTTGGCTGCTGTGTAGGGGTACCAGGCGTTGCTGAGGTAGGAGAAGGCAAACTTTGCTGAGGCACGTTTCGGGTGTTCATGGTAGCCATCCTTCTGCGCATGAGCTGAGCCTGCTGCAGGCGATGCTGGATCTGCTGCTGTCGAAGTTTGTGTTTGATATTGAGACAGAATGGCACAGGGCATTTGTTCTCTTGGCAGTGTTTGGCATGGTAGCAGCAAAGAGCTATGAGCTGTTTGCACACTGGACAGCCACCGTTGGTCTTGCGCTTGCAGCCCTTGGTGTGCTGGACAACCCGTTTCATCTTCTGGCAGGATGGCAATGAGCAGTTTGCATTGCGGCACTGACAGGCATGGACAAGGGACTGAATGCAGCGCTGGATGCTCAGTCGTCGCGACTCCTGGGGGCTCTTTGACTGTTGCTCTCCTTGGCTGTTGCTCTCATCATCCAGACCCAGGCCCCACTTAACCATCTTGTGGTCATGGCTCTTAGTGTTGTAGCAGTTAATGCAGAGATCGTAGTCCTGAAAGCAACAAAAACCCAGAGTTCAGTTGTCTACAGAGCACTAACTATACCAGCAAAAGAGCAGAACAGTAAGAGCGGTGCTAGGTGAGCAACGTGAGCCTGGTGTGGAAGCACACTTTGGGTTTCAGCGGGTACAAACACACAGCAGAACAAAAGCAGGACAACAGCCATGCGCTGTGAACAACTGCCCGTTTCGATTTACACTTGCTACACCGAGGTAGAGAAGCGGCTGCGTAGCCTACGGAGTCACGACGACAGTGGGAGTGGACCTTTGGGGCAGGGAGTGCTGGGCAGCTGAGGGCAGAGGCCACGTCAGCTGCCTCAGCAAAGCGAGCGTGCAATCACAAGCCTTGGCTACGGTGGGTAACAACGCCAATAGGGGCTGTAATTGTGTCTTCATTTTATTACATGAAAAAGTCTTGGCAGGATTTTGGTTTTTTTGTTTTGTTTTTCCCTTTTGATGACAGGAACTGTTTACTTTTCTGTGATGTCTACTGGGGTACCTACATAAGGAGGGCCAAAACCTCCAACTAGTCAGACAAACCTACTGTCACTGCCTAAAAAATACGGTTTGGCTCTCCATTTAGCTATTCTTAGTGTAATTACTGACTAATAATTACTACCCTGAAATATCTATTTTTTTAATCTCTAAAACGACCCTCAAATCAAGTGCAAGTTTCATGCTAAGACAGACACTGATCTGAAAACCTGCTCAAACACCTACATTTTCACTGCCCTGTCCTTTTTTTGCCGAAGGAAGGGTGCTCCCTGATACAGAAGTACCCAGAAGAAACCTAAAGGCCATACCTCCTTCCACCACTTAATTCCCCTAGTGTGTATGATCCATTTCCTGCAGTCTTGCCTCAAGAAGCCCTGTTCAATGTTTTCCTCAGAGGGATTAATTAAGACTCTTCCACCACAAACCTGGCAATAACTTGCAGTGTAAAAACTAGGCTGCACTTACTCAAAAATTTTTTTTGTTCAGCTACAGCCAGAGGTCATCACAAGCCCTGTAGAGGCTACCTTCTCCTCAAGTCCACCCGTGTAACTCCATGCATAATTGCTCTCTAACATAGTTCAGTGGAAGTGATCTATGCTGTAAAAGGACTAGTCATTAAAAGCATTGAGCCAGGTTAGGAAGCAATTATTTGGGCTGATCTGAAGGGCAGGCAACCTCGAACACTGGGCTGAAGAGATAATGATGAAGAGCTGCGGCAGGCTCCTCACCCAGCTTGGCGGCAGCCTGGACACACGCCTGGCTGCGCTCCTCGCAACACGAAGTACCATGTACAAAGCGGAACGAAAACTACCTTGCAGGAAGGTACGCTAATGTCTCTTGTAGACATCCATTTAATGTGGATGAGCTAGTGCCCTGCAGATTCGGACTAGTCTAACACGGTCAAAACCTACCACCCAGTCCTAAAGTTCTTTAAAATTAAGTTAAAGACTTGTCTATGCAGAGGAGCCATAGCGGAATAAATGACGCAGCAATAGCCGTTCCTGAGTACTGGCGTTCTCCATGTCAAGAAACTAAAGGCACTTGTTCTAGAAGAAGAGGTACCCCACTATGGTAGTCACCTTCCCTTAAGGCGTAGCAGCCCTTTTATCAGGATAGGCTTAATTTGGAGGAACTTTGGGCAATACCCCCCCCCCCCAAAAAAAAAAAATCAAGCTTTGGCTGTAGGGCAAAAGAGAGCAGAAGTCTCTGGTGATATACACCTACCTCACAGACAGTGCAATGCCACCTTGTTTCCACATGATGTTTGCACTCATTGCACGTATAGACAAAGCGATCCTGCCCTTGAGTATGTAGTTCTACCAGCATGCAGAGCGTGGACCACTTGGATCGGCGTAGTGAGGAGAACTCCCAGTGCTTATCTCTGGCTAAGGTGAGGAAGGCATCTCGCCCATCCATCAAATCACAGCTAAGTAATGGATCAGGGTCCACAATGGGAGGCAGAGTGTTAATTACAGGCCCAGCATGTAAATGAATCACAAAAAAGACCTGCAGATAAATGGGGGTGGGGGTGGGGTGGGGTGGAGAAATAAAAATTGATGAGGTTAGATAATCTTGCAGGAAAAAGCTCATGTTCTGTTGCAGTAATGGTGTGCTACAAATGTTATTTAATTAACTTAGTTTAGGCTAATCTCTTCCAATATTTTGTTACACAACAGAAAAAGTTCTAGCGCAATCACAAGGTTTACTCCTCCCGATTTTTCAGTTCTGACTATCGTCATGCCTGGATTTACAGGAATAAAATCTTCTCTTTACGCAGCGTATTTTGACAGTACCTCTTTATGCTTCTCCATAGTGGCATACAGCTTCTGAGACAGATCATTGGACACATTTGGCATGCTGGGTTTCTTCTTGTTAGCTCTGCTGATGCTACTCTTATTCTTGTTGGTTTTTTTGTTGTTCTTTTTCTTGGCGTTTTTGCTGTCGCCCTGGCTTTCCTGCAAAGATGCATAGGAAAGATGTTACACTTTATTGAGCTCTCTCCCGTTTTTGCTGTCCCTGGCTTCCCTGAAATAAATGCATAGGAAAGACGTTACACTTTATAGAGCTCTCTCCCATTCACTGCAGCTGAAAGTGAAACACTTCTGCTGTCAATAATAGAACTTTGTTCCAATGCCTGCAAATCAGCCATACTGTGTTAAATATATCCTATCTTCCAGGAAAAATCAAAAGCCAAACTGGCAGGCAAACCAATTCCCCTGGCTTCCCTGAAATAAATGCATAGGAAAGACGTTACACTTTATAGAGCTCTCTCCCATTCACTGCAGCTGAAAGTGAAACACTTCTGCTGTCAATAATAGAACTTTGTTCCAATGCCTGCAAATCAGCCATACTGTGTTAAATATATCCTATCTTCCAGGAAAAATCAAAAGCCAAACTGGCAGGCAAACCAATTCAAACGCTGTTTAAAAATAGATTTTTAAAGTATGCATATATATTAAATAATTCGTATCTTACACTTAATTTTTTGCCTTCTCAAACACTGTACCTCAGCTTCCACTACTTGCTTTACAAGATCTTACAGATATTCGATGATAAAATGAGTTACAAATAAAATGGACTTAAAAAAATTCCAGAAGTGCAGTCTTTTGCTTTGTTGTGCATTCGGGGTTTTCACACACTTGCTTGAGCTTTGAACTAATTTTTTTGTTTGTTTTTATTGAACAAATTTAGGGCTAGTACACAAATAAGAACATGCAGGATTTGAAACTAGCAAAATACATTATTCTCAATCCTGAAGACTTACTGCTGCATATGCAACTCCAAAAAAATCCCCAAAACTTTCACTTGTGTCTAAGTTACAACAACAGACCACAGTGACCATATACTGAATACTAGATGTAAGTAAAGAGAGTAAAAAATAGCAGATGATGCTATTTAGATGACCTGTGAAAACAAAAATAACTTTTAGACTTCTCAAGTCCTTGAAAAATAAAACTCCAAGCCCTCAGCAGGGAGCTTGCCACTCAGTAAAAATCTCCTAACTGCTAGAATGTTGGTTATCATAATATTAAAAATAAGCTACTGAAATACTCTGATGTATATATACACACACACAAGAAAGTTTCATGAACACTATGTACAAGCAAACACAGGGTTTATCTACAAGCATATTTATTCAAAGAAAAAAATATTCCAACTGAAGCAAGCAATTCTATATATAGACTGTTGCCATCCTTCCGTTCCATTAATTAGGCTTAGGCAGAAATTCCCTGTCCAATCTTGGGTTTTCTGCAACTAATTTTATTGACTTTTTGACCAAACCTGTTTGGAAATTGAAATCATACTATTTTATGGGAAACCAGACAGAGCCCTAAGTGATGTGGAGGTATTCAGAAATGAGCTATTGTATGTTCCCATCTTGACTTCTTTTCCCCCAAATTTTCTACCCCCCGCTGGAATTAGGGCATGCCCTCCTTTGCCCATGCCTTCCAGAGCATCAATGTAGATTTTAAAATTTAAACACCAAAAGGAAGAATAGATTGAAACTTAGCTGACAGTACAATTCTAAGTTTTCTTTCTACTCCACCTTTAACAAGTTTATATTTGGTCAATTGTACAAAGCTATTCCAACATGTTTTAAGAAGCTGTAAGATTGTTTTTGTACTACTTCATTTTGATAGCATTTAACACAGTCAGCCAGGTTTGCCAGAGATGCCAACGGCTCGGTTACTCAGTGAGCCTTGTCCCTTCAGAACCTTTTTCAAGAACTTCTGAACACTTACCACCTCTTTAGACTCTCTTTAACCGATAATCCCAGCACACGTTGACTTTTAAGAAGCTCTCTCTCCACATACACAAAGTTTAGGACTAAGAATTTAAGAAAAGATAGACACATTCCGTACCATCTCAATACAAGGCAAATTGCAAAGATTCATCAAGTGCTTCTACATGTGGAGATCCCCATTGCTGGGCACAGCTTCCTCCATAAAGTGACACAAATTTAGGTGACTGCACTGGAGAAGTTCTCATGCTTTTAATTTCGCTCCTTTTCCTGAGCCAAGTGGCAAAGACCACACCGTTACATTTTTTGTTGCATTCTTGGATGACACCTTCAGCAACTTGGATGCAGATTTTGTTCCCTCGCTACCCCAAGCAACATCAAGGGCATTAAGTGGGAACATAGGGATGTTAACAGCCAAGGCTGCATCTTCTCACTTTAGGCAGACAGCTTGTACCGACTTTCACAGTTAGCTGTTCTGGGCTTTTTAAAACACCTTTTCTCCCCTCTTAGATGTAGAGGTTTACGCTGGCGTTTTCACTGGAAGGGCATGCTATGATTTATTGAAAGTGATACTGTTAGCAGAAGAGGACTGCAACTTAAACTCCAAGCCTTGTCTTTCTGTTACTTTTATACTGCTGTTTGTTGAAATATTTCAGTATTAGAAGTTACATTCAGAAGGAACAAGGTGAAAACTATTAACTTTATGGTTCCATAAAAAAACATAGCAACAAACTACATTAGCAGCTCCTTCAAAGCTAAGGTTTAATAGAAGGGATTTTCTGACCTAATGAAATTGATGGATGAAGGTCTATCACTCCACATCAATCACATGTAATACACACTGTATGCAAATTGTCACGGCATCTAAGCTGAATGCAGTCCCTCCCCAGTTAAAAGTTTTTGGTTCCACCTCAATCTGCTAGACTTCAGACTTTCCTATTTTCAAAACACCTTGCTGCAAATCACAAGTAAAAGGGACAGTATAAAAGTGCTAAGACCATTTGGATACAGATACAATCAAGACAGAAATAAAAATGAATAATGAAATTCTGGCCATGACCCTGAGAAAGTTGGGGTTTTGTTTTTGTTTTTTTGTGGGGGTTTTGGGGTTTTTGTTTGTTTTTTGTTTTTTTTTTTGTAAATATACAAAGAGAGAATGCTGGTGAAGGAACACCACCATCAGGATCAATGTTTCACACCAATGCAAAGCTTGCAATAAATACTTTTAAATTTCAGCCCTGTACTGTTGAAAACGACTACAAGTACCTTTGCTTAAATAAAGGCAAAATTTAATTCAGCTTTGAAAAATACAGCATCTTTCAAAATACAAATACTGAAGGTGATTTGCAAAGGTGTGAACCAGAAGCTCAGCCAAATGACTGCAAGCAAATGTAGCAGTCATGATGCAATCCAAAAGTAGCTTAACACATTTCTCTGAGAACAGAGATGCTGAACTGACATAACTGACTTCTGATTCTGTTAAAAAAAAGGATAACAAATATACTGATGGCTTGTTATTTCAAGAAGAAAACCAGAAATGCAGTTAAAGGGAACCCTGATTTAATGTCTGATGTGAATGACCTTCTTTTCTAGTTTTCTGGATGTGAACTCTCTAATTTGTTAAAGCATTAATTGTCAGCTTTGTGAGCCAGAAGTAAATATAGCATATAAAGTTAACTCACCTCTGTTGTTTCACTAGCTGCAGTGCTTTCTTCCTTTTTCCTTTCCTCCTCCTCCTGCTCCAACTCCTTAATGCTTTCTTCCAGCACATTGGGCCAGAAATCACCTTCAAAGTAAGGCAGCTCCTTGGCACTTGTCAGCCTGTCCTCAGTTGCTTGTTTGAAGATGTCCTGTTGAGCGTATCACACAATACCAAGAATAAATAAATGAAGACCACTCAGGATAGAGAGGAGAACCAGAGACGTGATCCAGTGCTACACCGAACAGCTGTGCCTCACTTACAGCCCACGGCCCACTCCTGGCAGGCCTCCTTTTCTGGGCACAGCTCAGAGAACTGGCCTGGCAATATTGATAACAGCCCACTCCCTGTTTCATCTTAGAAAGACAGCTGCCGAGGCTCTCCTGAACCTCCATCATGCAACCGGTTCATGCTCCTGACATGATGGGAGAGAGTAAGATACCCCTGGAAAACACAAACCTCTCCCTGGTAACTACACCGATTAAAAATGAAGCCTACACCACTTCGCTTTTCCTGCACTGCTCCTGGACAAGAGCAGGAACTGTTTAGTGACAGCAAGCGTGTCTCATCCAGCCCTTTCCCGTACAAATTTGAAAGCGTGTAAGCACTTCAATGCATGTCTGGGCTGTGCATCACATGTGCAATAAGCCTGGTAACTCCAGGAAGAATCGCAGAATGCACCGGCCAACTATTACACACAGGAATATTAAAGTCTGGTTGTGGTAGGGGGGCTGTGCGCAGCCCGTGTCCTTCGCTGACCGCCGGCTGAAGCTCTGTGGACCACCTGGCCAGAAAGACACAGGACCACTGAGAGCAACAGGCATTCTGAAAAGGAACAGGTACTTCATACAGTTGTTCTGGAGGTGTTTTTTTTTTAAGTGCATTGCGTTTAACAAGCACATACAAGACTAGCCAATTTTCTTCTTCGGATTCATGTCAAGACCACCTCATTAGGAGACACACAGATTTTCTAGCTCTTTGCTACGCTGGATCAGATGACAAGGCTTGCTATACACTGTTCTATTCCACACATTTCGTAACTGTCACTTGCAATCAAAACATCAATTTTTTCCAGCACTATCACTACCATTAAGAAATTCTTGTAAATTTTAGCATGTAAGGAGTGGCAAATGCTATCTTTGGCATCTTTAACTTATTTCCTTGGGTACATATGTGATATGCTTCAACTACAAAAATCATCCTTTTTCTCTTCAAGTGAAGAAGCCATTTTATACGCTTTTTTTTTTTTATTTCACACTAGCGGGGTCTGGTATTTCACCTGACCCTCCAGGATCACCAGAAGCAAACAACTTCTATAAACCTTAACAAACTACATACTTCCTTGCCTAGAAGATTGCAGTGAAAGACAAGTATGCGAAGGCAGGCTCTTGCACACTTCTCTTAATGCGGAAACCAAACCTAAGGAATTTTCAGTCTGAAAGGCAGAACCTCCGGAAGATCTAAGTAAATGAAGACACTAGCTGAGAATAAAAACCCTTGTCCAACGCTACCACAGTTTTATGTGTTATGAAACAGTATTAGCTACCTTCAAATGAAAAGTCCAGAAAAATTAATTCAGGAAGTAAACAGTAGCAAACCTTGTAGTCATGAATGATTCTCTCAGCAAATGCCTTATCCAGCATCTTCTTATACCACTCTTGCAAACGTTTGGGTTTGGGTATTTTCTGATCAGGCGGATGGCAGTGAAAAATATAGTCATCTCCTTCACTTGGGGGACAGGCCCAGATGTGTCCTGTCACATACCTGGTGTTTCACACACAAGAAAAAAAAAAATCTTAACCATTTTGACTACCATCTTAAAATTAACTCAGACAAACTGAGATATAAATTCAGACCTCTGGCTTTTTTTTTTTTCCCCTTATTCTTTTCTTTTTTCTTTGTAATAAAGATGCTGAGGCAATAACCTCTATTTGCACAAGATATGAGAAAAGGTCTGGGATATAATAACGAAGCTTAAACATCAAGTGACCCTCTGATAAAAAGAATGATATGCTGTCAGTTTAAGAATCCTAACAACAGAAAAGCCACCTTAGTGATAAAATCCAAATTTCTCTCTCCACTACGGAAGAAGCATGTGTTCCATATATCTCGGAGAGGGCAGAAGGAAAGAGACACTATCCCAAGCAAAAAGCTACTTGGCATCCTGGATTAAAAAAAACGCTAAGAAAAAAGATTTCTTTCCTTACAAAGGTCTCACTTACCCAAGTTTCTTCACGTACTCCAAATATCCAATGAGGATTTCATGATAAACTGCAGTTCGGAGACAACGGGGGCGGAAGAAATGAATACTATCTAGATACGATATGTACACACGCCTATAGTAATGAGAGAAGAATGACAGAAAATCATGTTTGGCTGAATGTCTGTTTTGTCTACTGAGAACTGACTTTTATACTAGATACATATGCAGCCATACTGAATAAAGAAAAATTAATGATGACATTATTTTAATGCATATTTAAGCATCTTAACATGGTATAAACAGTTCTCAAAAGCAAAAGATGGGTACCATTTTTTTTAGACAGCAAGAATATATATAGAGAGGCAAAATTAAATACAGAATACAAAAACCTAACATTTTTGTTGTGATATTTGTTTTCCCCTTCAAAGTCATCTGCAGTCATACAGTAGGACTTATTTGTGCCGCAGAATTGAAACGTATCTCCCAATCTTCTGTATTTGAGAGTAATTGTCCACTGAATGTAGCAAGATGTTCCCTGTGCATGCACCACCGGTACAGAAATGAAAGAGTACCTTGTATTTGGAGGGGGGCAATCCGAGCCATACTCCTGTACGTGCATGCCAAAGAAGCACACATCTACTCCGTCTATCTCCTCAAACGCAAACAGAGCTTTGGTACGGTAAGGGAAAGATTCTGACATCTCACCAGAATCCACAAATCTGAAGGAGAGGGTGGTAGGAAGGAACAGGGGGGGAAAAACAAAACAAAACAAAACACAAAAAGCCAATTATTAAACCAGTGTCCTACTAGAATGAGGAAATTCTTTTTAACCTTATTTTTAACTCATTAGAAACATTTATGCAGAAGTTAAACAGGGTCAGATCAGAGCTGTATTAAAACAGGGAGTCCTGTCAATGCAACGTCTGTTACTATAAAACTCATGGAAAGACAGTTTCCATATAGTTAACATACGACTGAACAGGCAAGCATTGAGTACAAGAGCATCCTCAGAAACCGCAAGCCTTGAAATATGTTGCAGAGTGGAAAACCTGATACATTACGAGGAAGTGCTGTCATGTAAACACTGTCTTTATGAATTAAACCCAAAATATTTCATAGAATAAACCTTTTAAGCTTTTCATTTATGATGAAGCAAATTAAAAATAACTTCTGAAAGCTAAAGTATTTATAAAAACACAACAAAATGAAGGAACAGCAAGGAACAGAATCTCAGCAACTGTTCCAAACTAAACTATGAATTCTGTAATGCTAACCAAAATGTGGTCAGACTCTCTCTCAAGATTTAGTAATACAAAATCATAGTATTATAACCAAAACCAGGATGTCCCCGCTACCCCCCCCTGCAAACAGTCAAAATACAATTGCCACCCTCCTCTGAGTTCATTTACTGCACACCGCTTTTTTTACCTTTCATGATCTTTCTCATGCCTAAGTTTCAAAAATGCGCAAAGGGATTAAGGTGCAAATTGGCACAGTTTTGCAACATTTATGCAGGGAGACTTCAAAATAAAAAAAATAATCAAGAACGCATTTATTGTAATTAATAGAACTAACCTGGATTTCATTCCTGGTTTAACTTCTACCGTCTTATCTGAACTTGCTACTACTCTGACAAAGACCTCTCCAGCTTCAGGATGATTCTGTCGCCGCAAAAATTTGTTTACTCTGTCTTCCAAATGGTTTCCTAAGCGCGTAGTCTGTAGCCCTAGAAATGAAGGGGGAGAACATGACAACGGAAACGTTAATACTGGAGAAACCACTGTTAAGTTCAGGGTGTTACCATGCTGGTAAGGTCTTTCAGCTTGCTTCTCTGTATAGAAGTCGGCTTTTTTCCCTTTGTTTCACCTCCGTATGAAAATTTGATGTTTTCATTTATGCAGCCAAATTAAAACGCAAAACCATCCAGGTTTTTACCCAAGCTTTAAGTGCTCATACCCTAACATGGAAGCTAAAACCACTATAGTGGGAAAATTACTTAGTAGGTGAACTAACAAAGGCGGCTTTACGTAGCATTTTTAAATTTGCAGGCTTATTTTATGAACACTGCAAATGTTTTCTCCTAACAAAAACACTAATCTGGCTGTTTGACAGAGATTACATCACTTTATAGATCTGGCTCGATGCCACACCTTTTCAAGCAAAGCAAAGCAAATGAACAGAAATGAAAAGCCTTTTGACTTCAATGGAGATTTCATTGCTTTTTCTTTTCTTTTCTTTTCAAGAGAGCTTTTAGATTGAACAGTTACAGTAATCTGCACATAAAGCTTAAATAGTTATTGCACAGCGATAGAGGTCTGGAAAAGTTCACGTCCACATATTGTCCAGATCCCCTCTCTCGGTCTTTATGTTCACAATTAGCTTTTGTGGGGATAGCTGTTTTTGAGTATTACAGGATGTGATGGTTTTCATATAAAGCCACAGCAAATTACAGAAATTAAGATGAAGGTTTTGGTTTAAATTAAGAAAACAGAAGTAGCACACTGTTTTCACTTGAGGATTTATGACTATTTCTCTTATCCTACTGTACTTATTTTACCAACTTGTATTTCTACTTCATTTTTATGGTCAATCTGCTATCTTTTCCAAAGTCATGGTGCAATCTACAGATGTTCGTTTTACTAAAATGCATTTACTTTTCAGCTTTCCATTGCTTCATTTTTCAGTTATTTGGCTACTGACACAAGGCTGTTGGTTCTTCTTCCTTACTACTGAGCTTGCATACAGAACGCGGCAGTGAAATATCTACGCTAAAAATTATTTTAGGCTCCAATACTGAGGGAAAAAAAGCCACATATAATCAAAGGAAGATCTCACTTTCTAAGGGATTTATATACTTAACATATTTCACAATCAGTTTTTAGAAATTGCCAAACGTGGCAATCTTGTTTTACATCTTGTAGTCTGTCCCCTTGTCCAGTGAGATTCTGTGGTTATAACCAGCAGAACACAGTCTAAATATCATTTACCTGGGAGCCAATAATTAAATTTAAAGGCAGGTTAAAGTAAAAATACACTATGCCCTTTACCAATTCCAATACACCAGCCTTTTCCAGTGTTTCCCCGCCCAATACAATATATTGGGCTTTCCATATATAATAGAGGGGGGGTGATTTTAAAGGAAATTCAAAGAATCTTAAAGAAAATTCACAAATATTTTCTGAAGAAATTTAGTTTAGTTGATTTCTCCGAAGACAAACAGGGAAAAAAAAAAAAGAAACAGCTCCATTTCAGCTAATGAGTCGGTACATTTTTAGAAAGCCATTTTAGTTAACTCTACTGTCTTGTTGTGTTTTCATTTTATCATCTTTCCAATGCTAAGCAACCAAAGGATATCTGCTTCCTTCCTTATGCTGCAATGCATTAAGACTTGAAAAACAAAACAAAACAAGACCAGATAAGAAGATAAAAGAAATAGGCAGCATTAAGATTACATGCACCATAAGGAAAGGATCTAAAAGCCGCATATATTGATATATTAGGACGTGCAAATTCTTGTAGAAAGCAACCGGATTTTGGTTCTTGGACACCTCTAACATATGTACTTCCAATAAAAGCTCAGGTCTCAATGAAAACTGCAGTGCAAACTTGAAAAAAAGGCATCCCAAACCAGTAACAACATAGAAGGCTCTCAGGCCGCTTGAGTACAGCAGCTTTGTTGCAGTAGCAATGGCCAGACATTTGTTACTGGATGAGTAATCGGGCAGATAGGAAGAAAGTCAGACTTCTGGCTTACTGTGATTTTTTGTCAGGAAACTACTTCGGGTGACTTATTTGTCAGGGTATCTTTTGTCTTTGAACATCTCTGCATTAGCTACTGGTTAAGTAGTATTTGTAGATTTTCTTAGTAAGAAAAATACTTCAAAAGTTAGGAATTTCACAGCATAATCCAGCTGTACACTGGTTTATAGGTTATATTTGGCATGCCGCCAGTCAGCTTTATGCAACTTACTTGCAATGTGGTTAAGATAACCAATTTTACTTAATATACATACGGAATATGAATGTTTCCATAACAGCTAAGCAATAGCTTGCAGCTGAGGGATGTGCTACCTTGATTATTAGCAGTTGTGCCAGCATGCTTGAGAGAGCATAGAAATATTGAGGGCAATTCAGGAAGTAAAGGTTTTTATGGGGAGGGGAGGGGGAGAGGAGAGGAAACATGTTAATGTTTCAAACTTTCATTGCTCGTATTTGATTTTAGGTCAGTAGTAAGACCAAGGTTTTCCTTCCCTGTTCTTGTGCTTCCACTAGAGCACTGTGAAAGAAAACTGATCTCAAGAGCTGAGCCCACCAGTGGATTACAGCTAGCAGCAGGATTCAAATCATCATGGGAAAAAGAAAACAAGATAGCCAAACAGCAGGGAAAGGAGAAGGAAAAGGAGATCAACGGAAAGGAAAAAAGCACCATTATCTCCCTGTCCAGATCCCCAAAGAACAGAATGGTTACCTTAAACTAAATACTGGTTACTCAAACTTTAAGCAACGTCACAGAACAACTGCAGACATCCAAGGAATCGCATACTTATTTAAGACAATTTACATCAACATATGCTGTAAAGGCAGCATATAATAGAAGAGACATCTATTTAAAATGGTTATCTAAAACTACATTTTTATTTCATCATTTTATTAATGTTCTCTTACAATTTTAATCTGTCTTTAATGAGACTAATTTTAATCTTTTTAACAATACTATCTTGCATGCACCAGGTTACTCCAGAGACCATTTTGACTACTGTAACCTAATATGTCTCATACAGCGTTATCATCTCCAAATTATCCCCCTTCAAATCTCTTACGATGCAATCAACCACACACGAAGTTAGCAAGAAGTTACATTTAACACAAACCCACTCCTTTATTACAATTTGGAAGATTCAGGCTTGCAAAGGCACAGTATGACAAGGTAATGCCCAGAATTTCCAAGGACCAAAGAACAAGGGAGGAATCAAGTGTACCTGCAAGTTCTAGCTGTTCAAGTGTCTGAATCACCCTCTTGGTTTCTACACTCACTTTATTTTTGCACTCTATGCCACTGACACTGCATTTCCAACGCTAGCCCTTACTCTCCCCCCTTGCCCCCACAACGTGTATGAGTAAAAGTTATCAAGTTATGTTCTCTGATATCAAATGCAGGCAAAGAACGCCTCCATAAGGATTACTAAGGAGACTGAGACAACTTGACCTGGCAGCTTTTGGCACTCTCTTTAGTGCAGATTTCAACAAGATTATGACAATGGTTACTCCCAAGAAAATCTAGACGTAGTACAGTTGGTTACTTATTCCAGCGGACAGTTCCTATACACAGTCCACTCCAGAAGCAAGAAGAGCTCTTCAAACACATTAGTACTTGGCACTACCACAGTACACCTGAAATGCAGTAAAACTTGTTACTGCCTGTTACTTGAAGGGCACAGAGGTGACAGTAAGTTACTACAGTTTCAACACTACATGGAAACATATCTAAATATACCCAGTAAAGTGCATGCAGCCTTATGTTTCTCCTGTTCTGTTTCCCCCTCTTTTTTTTTTTTTGTATCTTAGAAAAATAAGGGCATAGATGCCAAATACCTCAAGCAGCATTAAGACTGACCACAAACACATAAAGAGCAGGTCTTTAAAACGTTGATTATAATTCTGACAGCTACTAAAGCCTTGGGCTACACTACTCCCCATTTTGCAAATGTTCCTGTATTGTCTATCATGACAACAGAAAGTCTCGGTCAAAAAGCCATTAGGGGAGGCAAGGAGAAGACGAAAGTTGAAGATAAAAATAGAAATATCAAACTCACTTTTAGCACTGAATTTGTTTTCTTTGCGTGTTCTACCAGTTTTCTTCAGACAATTATCACAGACAAACCTATTGAGAAAAAAAAATTGCCAAAAACTTAGCATAAACCCATTATTGGCTAGCTTAAACCCGATGTTTGAACCCAGAATTTAAATGTCAGAGTACAACATATTTTTCTCTGGATTTGAACAGCTTGTATCTCTCCATTTTTGAGGGACTTAAAGCCTTTATAAGCTGGTTTAATTCTACCAAGCAGTTACACCTGCATTTGTGTTCTGTAGTATACAAACTTACCTCCAACCAGCTTCCATTGTTTAGTAGTTAGAAAGAAACCACAGAAATCTGAGTATATGAACAAATTGGTTTCATGCACATTTTCATCTGAATATACTGCAATGAGACCCCAAACACCAAAAAAATGTATTTTATTTAGAAATGCTTTGTCCTTTTGTACTCAGTTCTTAAAAGGCAGTGACTGCATATTAAAGAGCAAAGGCAGAAAGTCTTAATGACATAAACTACACTGGTCTTACTGTACAAGGGGTAAAAAACTAACAAACATCTTACCCTGAAGGCCAAATAATATCATAATGTAATACACAAATCTGGTGCATCTTCCGACCACACTCTTTGCAGTCAACAAACCTGAGAAGAAAAAACAGCAGCCAATCACTTCTGTTGCTAGGCAGGTAATTTTCCAGAATTCAACAAGAAAGAGGGGGTTTCCAACCCTCTGCTAAGAACTGAATCAACTTCAGCAGGCCCAATTTATGTGTCAGTTTAAAAAACATACTCGTTAGAATAGTTTCAGATATAAATCTATCAATCTCATATGCAAACAACATATATATACATAGTAAAATGTACTAGTTTAAAAATGTGAAATGGGCTTTCACGCACAACTTTTTCTGGATCCTTTTCTAAGCAGAGTCCTGAGTTTTCCCAGCTTCAAAGAATTCTGCACAACAATACCTCCGCAGATTTAATTTTCAGTTGTTGCAACAACCACAAGTTGACTAAATGGTTGCTCAACTTAATGTAAATGTAAAAACTAGTAATCCGTGAATCACTGTGCCAAGAAAACATGTATTAGCTTGTCTTTGCCTGCACGGGTCTGCTGTAGTCTTTTTATTTTTTTGGTCAAAATAATATATCAAAATTCTTTTTTTGGATGGGAAAACCGTTAGAAGCTTTCCCAGGCAAGACTGCAACATTGGTTATGAAGATGGGAAAACCGTTAGAAGCTTTCCCAGTCAAGACTGCAACATTGGTTATGAAGCCAAATGCACTGGGGTACATCTCAGCAGTCTGGTTAAAGGTCTGGGGGAGGAGCTCTATTTAGTACTTGCAAATATGAGAAAAGGAATCAAAATGCATTACGTATCAAACTGCCAGAGAACAAAGTAGCAGTAAGATAAAATCCCATTTCAGCTAGTTAAGGACAGTAGGAAAAGTAGCACAGTGCTACTAAAGAAACATTCAACTCGGCTTTTACTGAACTTCCGGAGGGTAATAAACGCAAGGAAGGAGGATGGCTCTTTCAGTGGGCTAAGCACTCAGGTGAAGAGGAAAACGTGGTTTAGAAGTCTAGCTAAACCAGAAAGGGAAAATGCAGAGGTCCCCCACAGGTACCCGGGGCTTGGTGTGAAAGGCTCTGTGTGACAGAGGGCCATTTGCAGCCAGCAGAAAATGCAGCGCTTTGCAGAACACACCTTAGGAATTACCCAAATAAACAGAACTAGAAACTGCCAAAAAAACAGGCTCACATTTTCCTCTTGGATATCGATAGTAGACATCAAGTTCGTATGTTGGGCTACGAACTCTAGAGAAAGATTCTGCAGCCTGTGTGGGCAGAGATGGGGGAAGAAGGAAGACTTCTTTATTCACTGCCTAATTTCTGAAGTGCTGGCTAAAGGACAAGTGAAACGGATGAGATTGTCTTAAAAACAACGGCCTGGTACTTACGGCTCTGGATCTAGTGTATCATTTTTCTTCTTTTCAAACTGATCCTTAGAGATGGTTCTAGAGACAAAGAGTTAATATGAAAACTCAGTAGTACCTTTATATCAGAGGCTGAGAGAGTATCATGCTTTTCTGAATTGCAGCAAATGAGCAAACCTCAAGTTAGAAGAAAGCATATCAGTATTTATCTTCTATTCAGAGAAAGCAATTCAGTTCATTTTAAGCTACAGAAATATTTTCCCATTTCACTTTCTGTGTAAATTAAAAGCAAAATAAGAGACACCCAAGTATACACATAAATTTAAAATCATAAAGAACAAGGGAAGCTATCGTCAGTAAAGCAGCCACCTTCCAAAAGAGCTTGTATTCCTCAAATCTTAGCGCGTCTTATTTTCTGGTCAGGTTAAAAGACAAGCCATTGGTTTCATAAACAAAAGTCGTACTTCAAAAGGTGAGACATCAGGATTAGCAGAGGTATTTCATTTGAAAAGGTAATGGATTAGTGACATTTATTGACACAGCTTCCGTTCCCCCCCCTCCAACCACATTATCTAGTGTCTGCCACCCCCCACAACCAGTCTACGGGCAGCTCTTGAGTAGCGCAACCGGACACAAGCGACATTGTTGGGCAGACTAACAGACCCAACGCAGTAACAACCGTTAATCATCTGTTACTGTAAAAAAATCTCCTATTAGTAAGAAAGTAGGCATTTCCCCACGAACGCCACCACCGGCCACAGGGTTTTACAGGACTACACATCATCCCTCCCATTTAAAAAGGCGGCATGCAGAAGTAAGGAAGCGACTTACGTTTGAGGCTGGGAAGGGTCATCACCCAGGGTGACATTCTCCCCCTGGATTTCAGTGAAACACTTCTCACAGAAGTGATACCTGTCAGCAAGAAGGCCATATTTGGGTGAACTGGTCCAGCACAACATACAGCCACCCAAGCACGGAGCCACCAACCAGAGCAGGGCAGATCACCACGACGAAAGGGGGGGCGTTGTTGGTTGATTGATGGGTCAGTGTGGACAATGAGGAGGAACAGAGGGGAGGGGAGGGCAGGATTAGAGAACAGGGGAGGGAACAAACAGCACAGACGTAAGAGGTAAGACGCAAACACCAAGACAACACAGAGCAGAAAGCCAAGGCAAAGCACAGATTAGCATTCGGTCTCATTTTATACATTACTAACAAGTCGTTGGGTGTCAAATTCAAAATTTGGGGAGGGTTAATGAAGTAGCTACCAAGCGCTACATTTGTATAGACTTCAAATTTAAGAATTTGGATTTGATTTGCATTACTTAGGAAAAAATTCTCTTTGAATCCAGGCTTGCGACTGATCGAGTTTCCTTTGGTTAAAAAAAACAGCCTGTCAAAAAGCTTTAAGAACACATTTATTACAGATTTAAGTAATTAGAAAATATGCTGAAAGCATTTACTGATTGTCAGTAAAAACTGTAAAAGCAGAAACACTTGGTATTGAAAAAAATCTGTAAAAATTGTAAATTCAAAGGTTATTTGACTATAAGATTAAATGTGACCAATTGCTCTGCTAATATTATTTAATATAAATGAAACCAAATCCATACTCTAGACAAACATTTAACAGAAATGCAATTATGGGTCAGAGTTTCCAGCCATTTATCTAGAATTACGATATATGTATATATGTGAACAACATTGAATATTGTACATACATACAATATATTTATCAGGTACATTAAAGATGCAGAATTAAGCTTTACAAATTGAATATGAGGTTAGGTACAATTTTTGGTCACCAGACCAAGAGCCAATCCAAGTTATACTCAGCAAAACCAATACTCAGTTTAACAGTAAATTCAAAGGTTATTTGACTATAAGATTAAATGTGACCAATTGCTCTGCTAATATTATTTAATATAAATGAAACCAAATCCATACTCTAGACAAACATTTAACAGAAATGCAATTATGGGTCAGAGTTTCCAGCCATTTATCTAGAATTACGATATATGTATATATGTGAACAACATTGAATATTGTACATACATACAATATATTTATCAGGTACATTAAAGATGCAGAATTAAGCTTTACAAATTGAATATGAGGTTAGGTACAATTTTTGGTCACCAGACCAAGAGCCAATCCAAGTTATACTCAGCAAAACCAATACTGCAGTTTAACAAACCAAGCTGAGTAAATTGGAATACAACTCTACAAAAATACAATCTGCATTTGAAAAAAAAAATAAAATCTAAGTTACACAGATTTTTGGGTTTTTTTTGGTGGGTTGGTTTGTTTGTTTGTTTCAGATGAACTGGAACCAAAGTTGTCAGGGTCATTAAAAAAAAAAAAAAAAGAGGCTAAATGTTTGGAAAGGATATGAATTCACACATGAACAAAGGTAACAAAGAGAGGCCACAGCTGTAAAATGCAGGAAGGCCACAAAGGATCATCAAAATAAGGAGCTTTATGGAGGATCAAGAGTGAGAGAGTATAAGCAGCAATGGCAGCACAGTAAAACGCAGTTTTAGTACTCAAACACTAGAACCGTAAGAATGGTAAGTATAAAGGCATCAAACGAGACTCAATGTCACAATGAACCAACAACTTAAGGGATGGAGATTAATAAATATGGCAGCTTGCCCCTTCAAATACATACTCATACACTTAAACTACTGTAATCCAGGTGACAGATCTCCAAGGCTGTGCTTTCCTGGAGACAACAAAAGCCATTTATAGGCACTTATTGAAATGTATGGATCAGAATTTCCTCCTGTGACACGCACTGGCCATCACGTCTCCACTACACGTTTTTCTAAATGCTTGTGAAACACAGCGCAAGCAAGCGGGAGCGGGTCCTTCAGCAGCGCCCGATGAATCGGGGAAAGACGTTCTGCGGAGCAATCTGCGTCCTCCCCAGGCTGGAGCCAGGTCCGTGTTACCACAGCATAATTTACAAGAGCCTGAAAACTTCTGCAAACTCTGCCAGCTGGCTCAGGCTTCAAGAGCTACTCTGCTAGCCAAGAACCACTTAAATGCAGCAGCACACTGAATACTCCGCTCTACTGTGGGATTGACAAAGAGGAAAAAGGTGTATTTTATTCTAGCTAATATAGCCCATACTGGCATATCCACGTAATCACCTTACCAGCAGGGCAGCTGCAACTTTGATAGCAACCACGTGAGCTAAAATGCCACGCTCCCCGCCCAGAGGGCTGCTTGCCAGCCTACCACAAGTTAAACTGCAAGTGATTTCTCTTCTCCTGGGCCAGCTCAACCCTCCCAAAGAAAAACAAGGCTTTTGGAGCTGATAATGCAACAGAACAAGGCCAGGAGGAAAAAAAAAAAATGTATTCCATTAATTTGTAATCATTGGGAATGATAAACATATTATGGTTATTACAGAGCAATATTACAAGAGAATTTCAGGAGTAGATACTGACACTGCACATCTCACACTGACTTCACTTGCCCCTGAACTGACACAGTATCATCTAGTAATTTTTTTTTTTAATTAAAAAACCCAAACATAACAGGTTCAGAATTTTATATCCTTTTACACATTGTCTGTGTCCTTTTTTTCTACAACGTGCTTCTTTAGATTTTTCTTCAATTAAAAACCCCCACTGATTATCTTCCTTACTAACAAGGTTGCTCATTTTAAAAGTCAGATTGGGAAGGACTGAAACACAGGAGGACCCAAACGCAGGAGTGTGTAGCCAGAAAAATCCACGGTCAAGGCTCCTATTAATGCTTTGCTACATTTAAACAATCCCAGAAAAGGTTAATTCTGATCCATTTTCGGAATAATTTATGGGCTTTCAAAGCACTCATGAAACTGAGCAATGAGGCTGCCTTTGATATTGGATTTAAGTTACACTGCAGAGATCTAACTAGCTCCACCAGCACAGATATTTCACCCTCTGTTCACACTGCAGCTGCGGGAAGCTCAGTCTCGCAGGGACGAGCCCTTCGGTTCGGCAGCCTGTTAAGCACGTGCTCCAGCGATCCGTGGATCTGAAGGGGAGCACAGGATTGCACGTGCTGCAGAACCAAAGCCTAACGCTAGCAAGAGTCAAGCCTTAATCCATGGTATTAAAATGAGGAAACAGAAATTGAAATACAGTGAAAATGAGTCACCTAACGATCATGAACATTTGTCCATAAAATAACCAAGGTGAAACAATAGCTATAACTTATTATGGATATGGACCCTCAGAATCGGAGACTTGCTTGTAATTCACTGACTTTTGCATGTCACTACAAATATTCAACAAAACCCATAGAAAGCATACAATATTCTAGTTATAACAGTCATAGAAAATCCAAAGAATGTACTTATTGCAACACATCAAAAATGAAAAGCTTTTCAAATGCAGACTGTTCAGGTGACCGATTCCCGTTTATCAGAGTAACATTATGGTTCAATACCAAAGTCCAGAAAATGCTCAATCTCTGCATTAACAGGTGAATTTCCAACTGTAATTAAGTGCATTCAAAGGAAATTCTAAATTAGTAATTGGATGCTAGCACTGATATGAAATACCATCAGTTTTCTCAACTGGATATTCACACATGAAGTATATTTTCTGAACACTTACTTTAACTAAACTTCTGCCTTATTATGGAAGCCAAACAGTTCTATACCAAACAATGAACTTTTAATCATTGAACTGTAGTGCCAGAGTTAATTTATTCAACAGTGCCTAAATATTCTTAGTTGTAATTTAGTTATGCGATATGCTGGATTTTAAGTACATCCAATATTGTCTGTTCCATAAATGGAAAAAAATCAAGAACATTTGACCAATTAAAGATCTGCTGGAACCACAGAATTTGTTTTTCCACTAATTTGCTACTCGGTTAAGAAAAATCTAAGATTTGAAGATCACCGTCACAGGAAACGGTTAATTTGACTGTTTTAGAGCAATACAGCTGATGAGTAAGGGCTTTCTATGATCCGATAGTCCAAATGCACACTTAAAAATATGGTGATTGATCTTTAGAAATATTTTGTTAAAAAACCCAACCCAAAAAACCATTCATCACTCAATTTAGTTGGCCTGAAATAGAAAACCTCCCCCCTCTCCCCCGCTCCCAACTCAAAACCACCCCAAATCCCCAAACCCCAACCCTTTCTCAAGACATCTGGATGAACAGAAATCTACACCTACTTCTGTTCTGCTACTGGCCTACTGACACTTAAGACAAATCGCCTCCCTTTTATTACTACCCTTTTAGACTAAACTCAATGTAAATGGACTATCACATTTATAACATGTAGGAAATTGAAATACTGCATCACCGAGTCCCAAGGAACCCACTGCCCCATCAACTCTGTACTTCTTGCTAGCAACCAACATTGCCTTCCACCAAGTAATCCAAATGATTTAATACTAACTTAAATAGGAAAGGTATAACTGAAAGAAAAACGACCCATCCTTCAGTTATTTTTGAAGTTGCTATTCTTTTCAAATACAGTACTACGTGGATGCATAAAAGTATTTGAAATTCTACCACACAGAATTGGTATTTAAGGTTTATTTCTTCCCCACTTCCAGTACTGAAGTACTATCTCTTTAAATGCACTTTAATTGCTTTATTTCTCTTCAGACTGACTTTTTTCTGAGTTCACAGCGGCTGTATAAAAGCTTTTATGAGAGCTCGTGAACTTACATTCCTCCGCGTCAATACTATCTGCCTCACAAAGGCCACTTAAGACCCAACATACAACGTAAGACAACACGTTGTCATCTCCCACACTGTGCTGCTTCAGCTAGGTGGTACACAACAGCCTTGCACCATCTTACAGCATGTTTGGTGACGGAGGGATCGCCTTAAGAGGGACTAAACGCAAGCACCGACTGTGTGAATTAGTTCTGTAACTTCAGTTAGACAACAGCCCGCTGTGCACTTCAAAGCTGGCAAGGCTTATAGACTGCCAAGCCTCTGGAAAGCAATTCATAACTTTGTTTTACACAGGGAAAGGAAAGTTTGTGTCTTAGCCCATTTATGTTTTGCATTTTTGGGGGGTGGGGAAACATCTAAGAAACCAAAACCAAAGCCGAGTTCTCAGTTTGCTTTGTTATTAAAGCACTGTTGATTTAAGCATTAAATGCAAAATTAATATTATAATGTAACAATTGTTTAATAATAATACAAACACCAAATCCTAATATTAATTAAAAATAACAGAAACTATTGTTTTCGTAGCTTCTCATGGAGTCTCTGGGTAGTTTTCAATGCTAATTTAAAGCTAATTTAAGTAGAATTAAGTACTAACTAGGAAGAGAGAATGTAAGTCTTGCAATCACTGTACCCTTTACTTTGCAAATTCTGACACTAATTTGAAAACAAACCTGCATATTTTTACAATTCTCCCAGAACAAAGTAACATGATTTCTCAGTGCCTTTTTGCAGTTCTGCCCTTCTCCCTCCAGCAAGCCCTGCTACTCATTTTGTAGAAAACATGGACAACTTCACTTCCACTTAGGTGGTGCGTGGGGCAGCCTAGCTAATAGCGGGCTAGTGTGTGCAAGTACAGTGTGTATCAAGCTGCAGTACAGGTAACTAAAGGGTCACCTGCAAAAGGACAGCATGCAAAGATATAAAAATAACTTTTTCCTGACTTAGCTGACAAAGGAAAGAAAAAGTTAATAATCCTCCTCCTCCGTATGTGCAGAGAACTCAAAGGATCTCACTTCTAGAATAAGGGAAAAAAAACCAACCCCAAGTCAAGGACTTACCTATTCTGGTAACTGTAGTAGGCAGCATCACGAGGAATAGTACACAACTGCTTGCCGTAGCAGCACAAGGTCTGTGGAGAAAACTCATACTGCAAAACAACGGTGAGAAAAGCAGCTTTAAAATGTAATCTTATGTTAATCAAGTATCTATTAGGCAAGCCTGACGCTTACAGGTATCATAATACATTCTTATGTTTATCACACTTTTCCAAGCTATTGTAAATAAGAGAGCTGTGCTAATATAATTTAATTACAATTATTAACTCTATAAGCTAAATAGCTGACCCTCTAACCACCTACTTTATTGCAACGGACATGGGAAACAAGCAAAGTGTTTTAATACTGCTTATGACCAAAAAAGGTGTTCTCTGAGGGAGAAAAATGCAATAATAATGGAATAGCAGCAAGAAGGATGCTATCCACCTTTTTTAGCTCTTAGCATGCTTATAATAAAGCCAAACTTTTACCAACACTTTCATTCAATATTTCAATTTTTTAAAAAAGTATACAAAGCATATGTTTTATCTGATTAATCAAGCTAAGCTCTTTGGAAGAATACAGCTCCATCCCTGGAATACATACCTTGCGCCCACAACAGTAGCCAAGTGATTGCATAACAGGATCGATTTCTTGTTCAAACACCTCCGCGAGTTTAGTGCAAAACTTATAGACCCTGGAAGTCTTGCGATTGTAAAGCCAGGCATTGTTAAACATTAGCCAAACATCGTCCACGTATTGCCAGGGTTCTTGGTACTGCCCAGTATCCAATTTACGTTTAATGGTTGAAAGATCCATAGGATTCTTCACAATGTCGAAGTAGTCCTTCAAACACACACACAAAACCTTTTATTTTTAACATGTCAACCATTCACACTATGTTGTTCAGAAAAAAGGAAATGTTTATATGAGCAAAGACAAAACACAAAAACATTTTGTATTTTTTAATGCCAACTCACCGGAATCCCTAAAAGCTGGGGATCCACAGGCTGTCTAAAAGGTAGAGACTCTGGGTCCTGCCGGTACAAAGCTTCAAGGGTAGGCATGAGAGCCTGGCGCAGCTCCTCAGGTTTGAAAACTGTTAATGGAAGTCAGAGAGGTTAGAACATTTCCTTCCAGGTTTCCTAACCTTGAGTCCTATTAAAAAAGAAACCCAAAAGAACTACATTAACATAAAAAAAAAAATCTTAAGAGGGATTTCCTGATCTGCATAGCTGATCAGAGGCAAAACTTACAATCAAGAGGCTACTGCACAGCCTTTATGTTTACTCAAATCACAGTAGGCGATATTCCCAGAATAACAAGATGGGAACAACTGTAGCACGTAACGATACATATTCTAGAGCGTTAAAAAAAAAAAAAAAAGAACTTATCCAGAACCAAATTAATTCAATTGCTTCAACATGGATGAACCTTAGCCCTTCAGAGAAGAGACTAAGCATATGTTCCTCTCCGTCCCTTCTAACCTCGTCTGCTATTTCCAAGCCAAGATTCTTCTAGCAAAAAACACCATAGTGGACAGGGCCGAAGAGCCAGCTCTACAGAGAGTAACCAGATGTCTTGATAGCTGGCACAGGAATTTTCTGGCCACAGTATACAAACAGTCCTGGTCTGATGGACTGTTAACTGATTTTGAAAGTGTTAATACTTCCAGATTGATATGCATCATTACAACCACTTGGCAACAGTGGCATGGCAACAGCCATGTTTCTTTCACTAGTGGATGACAAGGACAAGAAAGGCAACGCATTTTCTGAAAAATGATAACTTGGAGAGCTCTTTGAACATCTCAGCAGTGTAATTACATTTATTTCCTTAGGAACAGAGTCTTTAAATAGGAAAGAATACCTATTATTCAGAAAAAGACAACTAAGTAAAGCCAGATAGCATCTAATATTTATCTACCTGGCTGAAACAAGAACGATACCAGTAAAAGAGAACAATTAAGGAGTTCTGTTGAAAGCACTTAAATCAACAGGGCTACAGTGACCCCTTTGAGGCTGATCATTGCTTTTGTCACTCAAATGGTATTTTGGTAAGATATACTTTTTCATTTGGGTGATATTTCTGAGAGGAGGTCTTTTCGTCTCAACTACACTCACCAAAATTACACACAAAAATAAAGCAAGACAAGAAATTAAATTGACGCTACTTAAAAAAATTTCTGAAGCATTAAGTACTCATTTTTTTTAGCCATTTGTAGATGCTGCAGCTGCTGGAAATTGTTAGTCAGGATGAAAATTGTAAGTCCGTTTGAGTGCACTGCCTCTAACTGGAGAGAGGATTGCTGCTCATGTACGCAACAGGCAAGATACCACCCAAGTCACCTAAATCATGGCAAAGGGCTAAGCAAGCTGTCAGAAGGGCTTCCGCAAGGGCTTGCCTTAAAGATACAGCAAGATCTCATGCTGCTACCTCGGAACTCAGACTCGCCAGATTAAAAACGAGATGAGCCAAGGAGGCCTAACATTTGTTGTTACGACGACGAATGCAACTTGATGATCGTTTCAGCTGTTGCCACAATCTCAGTCCCGATAAAATGGCAATTCTCTTCCATATTTATTGATGCCATATAGGCAGGCACTTTCCTATGAAGGGAACCCTACCATATACTTTCAAAGTTTTCTAAACAACTACTAAATTATCATATGGAATTCTTGAGAACAGAGGGAAATATTAAATTCCATTCATGAGAAAGTATTCTCTATTGCTTCTGGAACCATCTTCCTCCGGCTCAGGCAGTTCATAACCTGATAATCGGAATTATTTCATTTAATGAAATTTAAAGGTCAAAAAGCACCTTTTAATAATCTATTTTGGCCACCTGCTTGACGTTACTTTTAGAATTTTCCCTGTACCAACCCCTATAAAAACATACCGCTAAGCTAGAGTATCTTTCAAAGAAAATCCAATCTTAATTTAAACCCAAACTACAGAGATTCAGCACAACTTTTGCCAAGTTCCTTAAAGCCTAATTATCTTTGCTGATAAAGTTTACAACCTACTTTCATTTTGAAGTTTGAAAAAATAAAAATATCCAGTTATTTCAATTTATGACTTCACCTAAAAACGTAAAGAAAAGCTGCTTTCATCTTTAGCAGTAAAAAAGCTGCTCTGCCTCTAAGAAATATGACTAATAACAGAACATTTGATCATAGGATCTCCCTATACAGAGATTTTACAAGAAAGTTTCTGTTCTCCCCTCTCCCCCTTTCCCACAATTAAATGCTCTCGGTTCTCCTCTGGTAGCTAGAAGATCTTTGTAAGGAGCTGGCATCCAGCTATCCCATTTTGCCTTGGATGCGTGGGTGGTGAAAAGAAATTGGGATCTTTGCCTGAATCATGATGACGTATGATCTGCCAGAAAAGAGTATAATGCTACCTTTTTTACCTTTTCATATTTTTATTTCTTCCAAACAGAGGAAATCCTGCTTATGATTACTAAGGAGAAAATTCGTAAAGGAAGATGAAGACATCTTCAAAACAGTAAGGACAATACACCTGAATATCCCCCCCCCCAAACCAAGCCCTTGCAGGTTTTGCATTATTATGTCTTATAAAGATGGGAAGAAACCAGTAAAACTAACCTCGAAGGTCAAACTAAGGCAGCCATCTACAACGAGAAGAGGAGACAGGAGCTACCCAAATGAGTATTATACTGTTTCTTTTGAGAAGACTGCAAGGGGAAGAAGCAAGGAACCAAAAATCTTCCTTTCTTGCTTACATTAGATTCGCAGAAAAAAAGCAAAACCAAACCAAACCCCTGAATTTGGAAGGGTTTGGTTGCCCCCATTTATGAAGGCAAAACGTTGATGAGGACGAAAAGCTTGCTGAAGGGGCGTCTGCAATTCTCCAAAAAAGCTGAACTACAAAAATTCAGATGTAAGTGAATTGAGCAGAGCGGTATCTCAGCAGTATTATCTTGGCCTGTTCTCTAGCCCGTACAGTATTTCCATCACTTAAGTCAGGTTACAGTCTAGTTATAGGAGGTGAGCACAGCCAGGCCGATGGTGTTCAGTACACCTGGATGGGCAGTACAAACAGATGAGATTCCAACTCCACAACATAAGCCACTTGTACCCAGAAAAACACTCCTTTAGGGTCCAGATGAATCTTTTCAAACATTAAGCTATCAGGCTATAACTTGCTAAGTTATCTTACAGCATACACTCCATGACACTTCCAACTGCGAGCCTTCCCCTTAGCAGTGGCAGCACATATTTGCTGCGTTCCCAGGTTACTGTGGGGTGCACCTCAGGAATCTGGCCGCATAGGAAGGAAAAAGAGTTTCCAATACTTTCGTAACCCATGAAAGAGTCCAGATGAGTCTCATAAGTAGTTTTAAAATATCATATAACCCTTAAGCACACTTCACAGTATTTGCTCTCAAATACCTCTTGGTTTATTTAGCATTTAAATACAAACTCTCTATTAAAGTTGGACAAACTACTTGGTGAGAAAACGTCACCATTTAAAGTTGTATATGCTGTTGTACCTGCCCATGCTGCACATGTATTACACTATATGGTTACTTAGTGACAATATTTCTAAGATAAAATTGTGTTACTAAATGAGGTACTGGAAACAGGTAGTAACCCAGACTGAATCAGCAGAACGACAGTGCAGCTCTTCCATGGACTAATTCTGCAAGAACCTTCCTCTTTCAACCACTCACCTCGATTTACTTGCAAGCGCACTCCTAACAAGCAGCAATGATTCTTTCCACTGGGAATATAACTGGTTTATAAATGCTAATCAGCTTTCCACTCCCTGTGTTACATTTTGTTTGAAATAGGCTCTGCCAGTTAGTTCTGCAGCGCGCTCTCATTTGGCTGGCCCACTGTGCTACAAGCTGAAAAAACCATCCTACAGGAAAATGTGTTTCATAGCGTTTTATTATGAAAAGATTATGTTTAGTAATTAAACGCAACCCAAGGCATATACAGGAGATCAAGATTCAAGCTGCACAAACTTTAAAACTTTATGATTTCTTGATCACATTCTGGAAAGCATGCACCCATGATGTTCTCCTAATGCAGCTTCCTTTGCAAGGGAAGAAGGAAAAGTAACGAAATGGATCATCACTTTCCCTTTTTTGACATCTGCAGCATGCTGAAAGCTTACCTTTGGTCAAAACCTAAAAACTAACCACAGAAAATGTCATCTCAAAAAACAGGATGCTAAGACACAAAGGTCTCTAAACAGCTAAGGTTTTTGAGTCCAAAACCTTATCTTGCAGGCTCCCACAAAGCCTGCACTACAAATGGAGTAATTTCTTCTTGCCTGTTTAAGAATCTTATTCATTTATTTCTTACTAACCCAAGGCATGCAATCATTTATGTAAGTCCATTCAAGATCTGTAATGCCATGAAGTTTCCTTTTGGAAAAATATACAGTATACAGAGACAGTCACACCTAAATCTATGGTAACACTGTATATTAATTTAAGAGACTACTGACCTAACTATTTCTGAGGAGAAAGCTTTCAAATGAACACTACACTGAAAACTACACAGGACTTCAAACGTTAAGGCTGTTGCAGCAGACCAGCCTTGGAGGAACACAGATTCAGGAGAAGAGTTCAAGCAAGCACCTGATTCTCAGAGAAGTGAAGGCTAAAACTCAGTATGAAGACGGTGTGTGCAATGGAGAGGAAAAGCAAAGCAATGGATGTTCTTGGTTACTGAGAGCACTCTATCTACACTAAGCTCCCTTGAAAGAGCACTGGCCAAGATGTACAGGGAGAGATTTATGTCTGTAATTTCTCCAGCAATTGCTGCCTTGGTCCTTCTGGGCAGAAACTGGAAGCTGTGAGAAGACTGCTGGGATCAAGACCGCAATGACATGCTTTTCTCACCTGTGATTCATGTAACATTAAAGGAATGCTACTTTCAAAAATAAATTACACAAAGTATGGATCTCCTAGAGCTCCATATGCTGGAAAACACGTGCAGAACAGACCTCCCAGCAGGAACTGAGACCGTGGAAAACAAATGCTAGTAAAATAAAGCACACAAGAAAACCTCAGTTTTCATACACATACTTTTTTTGCGGGGCTGAGATGGCGATGTGGACTGTGAAGTGGTTCCATTAGTGCCGCTCTCCTCTTCCTCTTTAGCATCTACTTTTATTTCGGGCTTCTTTTCTTCTATTTCCATTGGCTCCTGTTTCAGTTCTGTTCCATCTGTTTCCTCTTTTGTTTGTGAAGATCCTTGTAAATCCTCCTCCACCTTAAGAAAGGATGCAATGAGATGTACCATTACATCTATGACCCAAACTTGAGTCATCAAAATATCAGTTTGAGATTGTCAAAGCACTCTCCATCCATGGCTTTCCTCAGGACAGTTACTTTCCAGTAACTACCCTCCTCTCGCCCCTTAGCTCACCAATTCAGATACATCATTAAGTGCTTTTATATCTATCACTGCTTTCAGTTAAGCTGTATAGAATCTCATTTACCTCAGTCTTAGCTTCCACTTGTGTCTCACTAGTCTCTGGCTCAGTTTCTTCAGTTTTAACTTCTGATTTGCTTTCTAGCATTGGTGCATCTGGTCCTAGTTGCTGGGAATTCGTATCAGCACTAGCAACTGAGGCAGGGGTGGGGACCCTGTTATCAATACTAGCTGCTGCCTGGGATAGCTGTTGTAAAAACAGTACAAAAGAAAGACACTGCATATATAGAAATATTTTCCTTTACTAAAAATGAACAGCACAAAAGAGACATGAGATGATATTCTAGAACAGTGCAGAACATGGATACAGGAGCTCACTGTAACCAAGTTTCGATATAACACATTTAATAACTCTGCTTTACAGAGGAGAAGCCAAGGAAGAAATTCTGCCCCAAAGAGGCTTCTTTTACAGAGAAAACGCCTGCCCAGTAAAACCCTGTACATTCCTTGACATGTGCATTCATCCTGACTAGAGTTTAAAAGAAAAAAATTATGCAAATTTCATGATCAAAAAAGACCGATTCTGATTAAGGCCAAATATAGTATTAGGCCTGTTATGCCTCATCTTTCTGCACACTGCTGCCATTTTTACTTTGAGCAGTTCGAAGTCATTCAATACGCCCCCCTCCTTCAAACAATGCTGAGAACATCTGAACATACACACACACACTTTTACACATCTCTGTAATGAACCCTTTGGTCTAAAGTAGAAGCTACTTTTGACAACTATGGGCTCTATACATTCATGACACGGTGCTATACATAGGGAGAACTCTTGTGGAATGCCACTACACAAGAAAAACACAACTAGCTGGTACTTACTGGAGTGCCAGGTGGCTGTGCCTGCACAGATGTTGGCTGTTGCTGAGATGGCTGCGGGGTTGGCACAGACTGGGGTTGAACTGGGGTCTGAGGTTGCGGTGTGACTTGAGCCTGTGCTGCAGTCTGCCCCGTAGGTGTGCTTTGTGTCTGTGTCGCGTTTGGAACAGAACCTGGTGTCGGTGTTGGTGTTTGTCCTGAAGATGAGACCGGTGTCGATGGCTGAGTGGGTGCTGCTGGCTGCGGAGGAGTCATTCCAGTTGGTGTTTGGTGCTGAATAGGTGGCATCCCAGCAGCAGTGGACACAGGAGGTGTAGTCTGATGTAGAGGTGGCTGGGTCACTGGTGGACATGGTAACTGCCCACTCTGCGGTCCTAGCATGTTCATGGAGTTTGGAAGAGCAGCACTGGGAACCTGCCCCTGCTAGAGAGAGAGATTGTCTTACAGACACGTGACTGCCAAAACTCTGGGAATCACACTTACCCTTTAAATCACACAACTGAAGTAGTCTTTAACAGAATACTCTAAGTCTGTACATGAGATCAGCTACAAACAAATGCTGCTATTACAAATGACTATGCTCTGATTTCTCTAATCGTTTTCATCAGCTCTTAGTCAAAGACCTTGCTCCTAGACCTAGATGTGCCAAGCATGTCTTTTTACGTTAATTCTACTGCCACAGAGAGGGAATCCTCACGATCTTGAGTAACGCAGAAACCCACAGGCAGACAATCTCTAAATCATGCCATTAGCTGGGCAAAGGTCAGACTTTGCATACAAAATGGTTTTGAGCAAATACACATTTTACGCCAGGACTCTAGAGCAGCCCTGCTTTAGAAGACAGTTCAACACATTTAATGCCTGCCCCACTGCACAGTGCAAGACTTAAGAGGGGTTTTTTGTTTTCTTTTCTTTTTTTTTTTTTTAAATTCGAATTAGACTACTCCAGATGCTTAAGAAAATTGTGGATTTGTTTTACAGACCACCAACAATAAAGTATTCTGGATGTGCACAGACTTGTAAACTTTACATTTTACTAAAGATTGCATCAGATAACTAGTGATAAAAAAAAGAATACTCTGTCCTCAGGCGTACCTCTTACTCTTAGAAATCTAAATCAACTAATAGTTTCCTGCAGATGATGTTTCAAATTTAAAACATGCTTCTATATTGCCTGTACATAGTCAGTTTTATTGAACTAAGTGCATTAGGAAAAAAATGTTCACCACAAAGGTGGTCAAACAACTGAACCAGGGCCCAAGAAATTGTAGATGCTCCGTCCTGAACATATTCCAAACTTGACTCGACAGAGCCCTTCATAACCCGATCTAAGTTATCTCTCATTTGAGGATGGGGCTGGACTAGAGAACTCTGGAGGTCTCAACTAACCTAAATTACTTGGACTCCGAGTTAAAAACCAAGCCTTTCCCTGTGGAAATATACTATACTTATAGCTATATACTTATAGCATATACTTTGGCATCATAAGCACAGCTGCTACTTCACTGACCACTAATGTAACAGGAAAATGTTACAGAAAAAAACCCAATTTTCTCTTCAGAAGTGGAGAGGTTAAAACAAACTTTAAAAGGTCTTCCCCAACCACTTTATTGTAATTCTTAATTTAAAGTTCGCTACTAAGGTCCACACAAAGACAAAAGCATATGCTCATAAACGTCCCATAAACTAACTTTTGATAATCCCCCTAAAAATCTGATCAGCTTGCATTTTTTTAGAATTTAAATCAGGAATTACAGGGTGTTGCCCCCCAGTTAGCATACATCGATAGGTTATATAAGAGCTTATGAAGAAGGCAGATGTAACCCAGGATCCCCCAAAGTCAGGGGTGACTACAATAAACAATGGATATATAAATATAAATAAACGTGCATAAATTAAATAAATTAGAACAAAATAATTAAGAGTAAATAACTCAAGTATTAGAAAATACATCTTACCTGTGCCACCCCGGCCTGGGCTGTTGATTGACCCATGCCCACATTGTTCACATTCATAGCCCCACTGGATGCTGGAAACTGATTCTGGGGCAGGAATTGGTTCTGGGTAGGAGCCTGACCCATCATGTTGTTGGAATGAGCTCCCATCATGTTCTGCGGCTGAGGCATTCGGGAAGGAGACATTGCCATCTAAAAATTAACACCCAAATTAAAGACATTACCATTTAGTATTGTGTAGCAAGACAAAGGAAAATACCCTCAATGTAATCGACCAAAAGATAGGACAAAAAAATAAGGAAAACTGGCTTCAGTAAACCAAATGGAAGTGGGCATGTGCATATAACTTCAGCATTTGTTCCACAGTATTCATGAGGAAGTTATTTTTAAACGGGTAATATTCAAAACTCAGTTACTAAGAGCGTTAAAACTCCGTTTTGTTCTCTGAGCTAACGGAGATAATCCAGTGAAACTGAAAATATTTTTGTTTTTCTAAAAACATGTTTTCATGGAGGAATAAAGAAGGTATATATTCTGCAAAGACACAGTTTCTGAAAGAACTGTGCTCTTCCACAGACTGTTGGAGATTATTGCATCTCTGGCATCTACCTCTCTAAAGTTTGTTTGTTTTGGTTTTTGTTTTTAAAAACACATAAATATTGAAAACAAATGCCTCAATAAAAGCCTGACAGACTTGGTATGTTTCCATGAAATTATCCTACAATTTACAGTACTACTCTATGACATGGCCTTTTCAGAACAGTGTTAACACTGCTGAATTTAATCAACTAATTTTGAGAAGAACTTGGTAACAAGAAGTACGAACCGCAGGAACAGCGCCCATGTTGTTCATTTGTACAGGATGGTTCATTGGAGAAGCTGCACGGGGTCCCATGGGTGCTTGTGGCATCTGTACATTCCCTATGGACATGGGGTTAAACTGATTCATTCCTGCAAATGCACCCCCAAAACAACTCATTAGGAACAAGTCATCAGAATTTATGTATGTATACTCTACTATAAAATTAACATTTATTATGAGTAAAGTTTGACTGCCCTATATGTCATCTTTTTCTTTTAACTTTGTTCAAATTACTTGGCTTAAGAGACAAATCAGGATATGAGAAATATTTAGAAGAATACCAGTTAGGGTGAAATAGAACTTTTGGTGTCTAAAAAAAAAATAATGCAAAAGATGAATAGTGTGGATGATCTGCAAAGACAGGATGCTATTTGTAAATAATACCTTGGGATGGTTTCTTAAAAATCAGGCATTTGCTTTGAAACAGCAATGTCTTATTCAGGCCTCACTGAAATGGTTGAAGTAAGTATGATAAAAATACATATTGTATATATGAAGGCAACTCCTAGCCTCAAATCAGGACAAAAGCTAGCAATATGCTTAAACAGGTGGTGTGCTTTTTATACAAAACATTTAGACAAGTTTGGTATTTTGCAGGGATTAACAGGAATAAAGGTGTAAATAAATCATTATGGAGCTATACTTGCTATCAACTTTTTCTCCTATTGAAATGAATTTTAAAAGGATGTAACCTCTCAAGGACATTTCAACACAAGTTTCAACTTACTACTGACTTTGAACCAAGAAATAAAATAATTGGGGACACTTTTTTTGAAGAAGCTGAAGCACCTAAAAGTCACGGGTCTTTATTTTTCAGAGAAAAAAACCACCCATGAGCCCACAGCAGCCTAAATCAGTGATGGCAAGCCATCAGTGCTACGAACAAGCTACAAGGCTTTTTTAGATGCACTTTGCATCAGAAACCAAGAAAGGACATCACTAGTTATACAGATTTCTAGGATTAATGTAGTAAGTTTCCAGCTACAGGTGTATTTTTGGCTAACTAACTGATGAAAACATGCCAACGTCCTCCTCCCTCCCTTGGCCGTTAGTGTTTTAAATGAGATTATCCACAGTATTCTTGCTTGCGCTCTCCTCTTTTTGAAAGGACTGAATTACTTCCCAATCAATAGCCAAGTATTAGGTGCATATTGCCAGTTCTTAAGACAAGACCACACTGAGACAGTTCCTGCCACAGAGCAACAACAAAAAATGATGCCGAAAAAGAGGAGACCCAGTAGTCCCCCTACCCCAACTCCAAAACAAAAAGAGATCAGCTTTTCCCCCTAACGATTATTTTGAACCCACAAATTGCAATTAGGGAGGAAAACATAGATACCTTGAGAAACCTGCATACGACTTATAGGCACGGTTGGCATGGACATAGGCCCATCTGCAACACAACAGAAGAATGGTCAGCAAAAACCAGTTTAAAATACAAACTCAAGATTAGCATGAGAGCCCAAGGACACAAACTGCGCAGAGCTACAGCTGAAATGCAGAAGTACCTCCTATAGAAGTACTTACTGGGCGGCCTCACGGGCTGTGCCTGGCCCATGGCAGCAGCCACCTGTGGGATACCAGGGGGCTGCGGTCCTGGGGTCTGTAAGGCTGGCTGATTGCCCAACATCCCTTGTTTATGTAGACGAGACCTCCGTTTCTCTTCTAGCTCCTTTTGTATCTTATAGATCTTCTCTGCTAATAAATGATAGTATTCATCCTAAAAGAGAAAAAAAAAAAATAGTACTCAGCATCAAGTATAAGAAAGCAGCAGCAGAACTCACGTAGTCTACCAGAATGCCATCACCTGGTTGGTTTGGTTGGTTTTTTATGTATACACCCACCTACCTGAAAAAGAAATATTTCTTTTCAGAATTCTGTTAAATTGAGACAGTCTCATCACTGCTTTAATGCAGAAAAGGAAAAATCAAAGCTTCCAGAAAACACATACGAGACTTGACTTTATGGCTATCCTTCATATCTACTCTGAGTAGATTAGTAGACAGAGAAGATTGTAGGTTCTCTGTTGCTTCAACAAAAAAGAGGAAGCCGTGATTTAGTTTCTAAGTGTTAATGATTTTTAAATGTTATTTTCATAATAAACATTTCCACTAATCCACAGACAAAAGAAAAAGATGTTCCCAGCAACACAGTTACGCTGAATAAACTTCAGGAGACAGACATTAACGACAGATCAATTTCTACATAAAGAAAGGAACTGCTCTTTTCCTAAAGAGTCTACCAACAGTCATTGCAGAGAATAAACAAAACCACACAAAACCTCAAAGGAATGGAGGAAATCAGTGAAAAATAGTCCACAGGCAGAGACAACTAAACACTACATCTGTACGAGATGAAAAATCCATTTTACTCAATCCACATTGACAACAGATCAAATAAGACAGTCACAGCGCACAGCAAGGTAGACAGTTTTGCTTGTCAGCGATTGCCGGACACGCATCTGCCAAGTGCATAAGATTATGCACCTGTTAAAGGCAAAAAAACCCCCACAAACCCTCAAGACTACATTTCTTTTGTGGGGTCACCTATGCTCTTAAAACCCAGTGTTACTTGGAGCAAAGGTTGAGTGATGGTTGTCCCACAACCATTTTGTCTTCATCCAATTTTCAACAAAACTAGAATTTGTTATTGCAGTAGGATTGAGTTCACTTCAGAAAACTAATATGACAGGTATTCCTCACAAGCCTAGAAAGTCCAGTGTTGCTCACCAGCCTAGAAAGTCCAGTGTTGCAATACAAAGCTTTGTTTTTAGCTCACTTCCCTCCTCCAAACATCTCAAAAACCCATCAGTGCAGACACTTTCTGCTGTCCAATTTAAAAGCACTACAGCCCCTTCCCTCCGCCTACTCAAGACACTTCACTTGTAACTTCCTACTTGTAAGTTTAATATTGTGCTACTTTCACACTGCAAAGATTGCCGAAGAAGGACGTGTTCACAAGGAACACATACTACTAAAACAATGTCAAACTGCTTACAATGATGCCTCATACTAATCCGTTTTTCAATGTCAAAGTAGAACGGATGCTCCTCAAAAAGAAGGATGCAATTCCACACGGCATCATTAATACATTCTAAACCACTCCCTTCATCCAAGTTTGCCGCTTGAAGCCAAATATGTTAGATGAATTCTCATAAAAGAGACTTCTGGCAATGAGGCTCTGACAGCTGTTTTCAGGGGTGGAGAGAAGATAATTCTGGGTATTTGTCTGGCATAGAGGTCAGAAGACTATTTTATAACCAGAAGTATACTATGCTCATTCTTACTGAGGAGGTATTTAGATGCCTATGCAGAGAGAACAAGGATTTCATAGACATAAAGTTGTTCTCTGAAGCTGCCAGGGTGATCACACACAAGCCCTTCTTGCTAAACAAACTCCTGGTAGCCACAAGGAGAGTATGATATTGTCACTGACCAATGCTGACACAGCAGCAGCATTACAAGTATGGCCACTGCTTATCTACCTCTAGGAAATAAAACTTGCATTCCATCTTCAGCTCTTCTGGGAGATGGTCTGAGAGGGGCAGACTCAGTGTTTGTGTCTTTACTGGATGATTATCACCTGAAATGCCACTAACTACTCTCTTTAGATACTCTTACCTTATTTAAGAAAGGACCTCAAGATTCTGATCAGGAAAGACCTCACTAGCTATTACTGGCACTACTAACATTGTCTTTACCTGATGAAAACTTTCAGGGAGTGGTTCCTTTAGGGTAGAATTACCACAGTGTCATAATGAAATAGTATCCTCAGCATGTCAGACAACAGCAGTTTGCTCCCTCTGAGTAATAGAGATTTGAACCGACACCTCTTTGCAGACAAAGGAAAAATCATGAACAAGAAAAGGAATCCTGTCTTGTTTGCCATGCACAAAGACAAACACAGGCTAACTGACTACTACTTATGTTGAGACGTGAAACAGCTATGTGTCTTAGCCAAATCACTCGGTGCTGCTGAAGAGAGAAGTAATTCCAACAGTGCGGGTAAAAGGTAAACGGTGTAACAGGACTGAGTCCTGGAGAAAACCTCCAACAGTAAAGAGGCATCAAGAAAGTTTTAAAACTGCTATTTACACAGACTTCCAGAAAGGAGAAAGCCAGTAAGGGAAACATCAAGAACCGCAAGCAATGTTCCAGTCTTCATGCATGTCAATCACACTTTCAGGAGGAATGCAAATAGGGCTGGGACGATGTTGTCTAGTCTTCATGGAGCTGACGGAAGTGAATTAGCTTGGAGTGACATTAGTCAGATGGCTTGGGACTATACAAACACTGTCACAGGCAGAAAGCATGACTTTCCTCATCAAGAGAACAGTGAAATGATTCTCTGTGGTTTTCATTACGCTTATAAGATTTGTGATACTACTGTTCTTGAACATATACTGAATAGCTGGACTGAAGCAACATACCCTACTGTTAGCAGATTCATACATATCTCCTTCCACTTTCCTGGCATAAGCCACCAAGTTCTCCATGCGGCGATCCTTCAGTGCTGCCGGATCAGGAGTGGGGAAGATGGCTTGGACACTACAAGAAAGGAGGAAGAATAAAAGAAAAACTCTTCAGAGAAAAAAAAAATTCAATACAGCTCTGTAATATTCAACCTGGACACCCCTTCATACATCAGAGATGTAAAAGCATATCAAAACTGTTTAAAAAAATTAAATCTATATTGCACTACTCCCCACAAGATTAAAGCAAATTCAATGATGAAAAAATGTGAGGTTTGACAGTCTAGAGTCTAAATACTTGTTTACTACAGCAGAGCAAATTTACTAGCAATATAAACTAATTTCATGCCCACTCCTTAATGAGCACGAAGAATGAACTGAAGAGGAGGGTTAGAGGTAACAGCTCATCCTCAGTGGCCCAGTGTCAGAGAACCACTGCCGGTAACTTTCTCATCAACAACTTTTCAGCTTAACAGTAGAACTACAGTACTGAAATTCTTCAAAAACATTCAGGGAAAATACACAATCTTGGTGAATACTTACAGTTTATGCACTAAATGATTGCGCAGGTCCTGAGTGACATGTTCATGCCATGCTTTCCTTACCCCGGTACTAGAAGGAGGTGCAGCCGTTGGCATTGAGCTGAGGTTTCCAACATTGCCAGAATTTGTGCCATCATTCATTAGTGGGCTAAAATAAAAAGAAAAGGGACTGTTACAGTACTGAATGCAGAGTTTTGTTGCATGTTTGATGCCTGAAGTAATTTTTAAGTAATTCCTCTCATCACTTCTAGCTACTGTGTCAAACATTCTCTAAGAAAAATTTTGATATCAGCAAACTGCAACACCTACAGCAGCAAAGCTCAGGAGTTTTTAAGACATGGTATGAACGATAAAGAATCACAACTTAAAAATACAAAATATTCTTCCTTTGGGGATTCATTTAAAACTACTAAATATTCTGGGGCTCTCTGAGGGGACAAAGTGGTAGATATAGAATTGAAATAGGAAAGAAGAGCGTAGCTATAGATGTGACCGATCATTTCCATGCCAATATAATTAGTTTTTAAAGCATGCTCTTTATTTACATTCATAAGCATGTAAATAAATGTTTAATTGAGCAAGAATGAAAATGAGTGCATTACTTATTTGTCCCAAGGGATGTTGGAAGAGCAGTTTCAGAAATTAGACTAGCTTGCTGGTCTGTTGTTATTCCTCCTGCAGGAAGGTTCATCTGGTTGGCTCCTTTGGGACAAAATTAAACATCATTGGTACCCAGTTCACAATTTTGACAATAACATGGCAAAAACCACACTTTACTGACCCAACTGGTTAACGAAAGAAACGTTTTATCAGGTAAGTACTTTTATGACAGTATCTGCTGTGGTGCATATACATAGCTACTTATGGAATCAAAAGTTACCTTCAGTCTGAACATCTTTTTCTACAAAAACTAGTCTATTAAAATTTAAAATTCATAAACTTTTAAGACTAGTTCAGTAAGCTAAAAAGAAGATAACACTACAATTAAGTTCCAGAAAGAAATTAGCATTTGAGACAGAACTGTCTGCTAAAACAGGTGAAATACTTGTTAAACAAATCAAAATCCTTCAGCAATTCTGTCTAATCACCTCGGACAACAATAAGCTATGAACTATATTTTAAAAGAAACTAAAATCACTGCTATTTGGCAGAAGCAATATATTCAAAGCTTTCTCATATTCAAATGTAAACAAATGGTAGGGTTTATAAACAGTATAATTTTAAGTTATTAATCAACACGAACAGAAAGTCACTACTCTGATCAAGTGAAATACTAGACTATCCTAAAAATTCAACAGTTCAGTTTATTTTAACACCTTAGGTTCTTGGCATTTTTTCCACCTACCCAATGCATTAATGGTCCTCATTTGCTGGTGAGCCTGAGGCTGTGCCGGCTGTTGGCCTTGTACCTGGGGCTGCAACTGTGTTTGAGGCTGGTTGCCGTATGGCAGTCCAAGAGCAGCGTAGGCTCGTTGCATGGAGCTGGGGTCAATCGGATTAGGATTACTTAGCGATGGAGTATTCTGCTGGCCTGTGCCAACAGAACCGATGGAATTTTGGATTCCACCAGCTGGAGACCCTAAAAGGGCTATAAAAAAAGAAAGGATAAGAGAAAACTGAAAATCAATGAGAACAAACAATAAAACAAATCATGCCAAGAATCAACAGAACATGCATATAGTTATATGATATATATTTTTCTGCCAAAGGACAGAACGACACCCGAGATGCCAAGTGGGGAAACTCAGCCTTTGATTCTATAGGACAGAAACCATCCTAGCAATTAATACATGCAGTCTAAAGAGAAGTGCTGTAGATTTTGGGCAGATAAGCCCATAATTACTGTAATACACAAAGTATAGGCTCCAATGTAAGGCTAAATAGGATTTTCATGCTTGGGGGGATAATTAATTCCTCTACTTCCCTCTTTCCCATCAATCCCACTTTAGGTCAAAATATTTGGCTCCAGAACAGAGATCCTGAGTTCAGCAGAAATACTGTGTCCTTGGACACAAAGGTAATACTGAAGATCTGTTGGTAGAAATTTTCATTCCAAGCAGTCTGAATCCTCTGAAGGCCAAATTACCCAAAACCCAAGTTATTCAGAGACATGAAAAGCCCTGATGGGTTTCAGACTGAACTGACAAAATCTAAAATAATTTGAAGAGTCAGAAAGGGGATGAGCCTGCCACAGGTTTTGGTAAATGGTTTAGATAATAATATTTAGGTATTCATTAACCTGTATGACCACCACAACCAACCAACCCCTCTCACCACACAGATGTATGGAAGAGCCATTTCCATTGTAGACAGGAAATGGAGACAACAGGGAAAAGTAGTTTTTGCTAAACCCAGAAGTGAATAAAAATCTGCTTTCCGATCCTCATTTTAGCTGCCATTCTAAGTAATAACGTGTTCCACTGTGAATGACACATGGAGTACATCCTTCACTACAGAGACACTGCATTTTGATAACCGAGACTCTGGTAGAAGTAATACGTACTTCACATTTTCCGCCTTAAGTAATTAAATACGTAATGTGCATTACAAATTTGTGAGCTAAACATAGCAACAATAATAGCTTTTAATATAGGCAACAATCATAGAATCATAGAATCATTAAGGTTGGAAAAGACCTCTAAGATCATCGAGTCCAACCATCGACCCAACACTACCATGTCCACTAAACCATGTCCCTAAGCACCTCATCTACTCGTCTTTTAAATACCTCCAGGGATGGGGACTCAACCACTTCCCTGGGCAGCCTCTTCCAATGTTTAACCACTCTTTCAGTAAAGAAATTTTTCCTCATGTCCAATCTAAACCTCCCCTGGTGCAACTTGAGGCCGTTTCCTCTCGTCCTATCGCTTGTTACTTGGGAGAAGAGACCGACCCCCACCTCACTACAACCTCCTTTCAGGGAGTTGTAGAGAGCGATGAGGTCTCCCCTCAGCCTCCTCTTCTCCAGGCTGAACAACCCCAGTTCCCTCAGCCGCTCCTCAGAAGACCTGTTCTCCCACAATAGCTGTTTTATTGAAATATTAGGAGAGGCACATAGTAGGAAAAAAAATAAAATCAGGAAAACAAGCCTTCTGAGACATTAACAGCATTATCTAGGCTTTCTCAAATCCTTACCCACTATGGAAACTGAGAGAATCACTGAAAAAGATACACACACTTTCAGCTTCCATCCAAGAGAAAACACACACGTTACAGAGTCCAGAGTTTTCCCTCTCCAGATGAGAATTCAGTTTGATCTCATTTGCCAAACAACTACAAATAAATACAGTCAGAGATCCCCCTCTCCAGAATAAGTAGCCCCACAGAAAACATCTTTTTTTTCCCCCAAGGACAATCCACAGTATTTTCAACACTGGGTTTACCATGGAAGTTTGGCTTACATATGCTTACACTCTGTGGACACATTCATAATAACTTTTGAACTCGCTGATCGTTTCCACGCAAGTTTAAAAACAAAGACAGAAGCTGATTGAGATCCTATCAGTTTCATTAAGAAAAAAAGACATATTAAAGAGCAACTGTATGAATTTCTTGTTGGACTTGCACATAGCACTCTGGAATCACACAATCTAAGAGAAAGACGCCTTTACACTAGCGCAAGCCAAGAAATAGGAAGTCTCTAGAAAGGTTAAATAGCACAAAACTTGCGGCACCCTGGAATTCAAAAGGCTTCAGAGGCTACTGTGACAGCAAAGGATCAATTCAGGAGCTAATAAAAATTCGAGCTTGTTAGAGAAAGATGATGATATTTCTCTGGAAAAGTTACAACAAAAAAACCCCATACGCTTTCAGCGTTGGCTGTAAATCAGAGGTACATCTCTGGAGATGGTAGAATGACCACAGGTGATGCTGAAGGTTGGGAACAGGGAAAAGGCTTCTAGCCATCCCACTGAGGACAGCCAAGTGTTTCACCATTCCTCGTGCTCTTCTGGGGAAAAAAGCTGGCACTGATCTTCTGAGGACTGCAAGCTTGGCTTGAAGCTCACACTGAAGCTAAGGCAGAGCTTGGAGAAGTCAGTCACCTCTTGTCCATGGTTTTGGGCTGAGCTTTGGCAGTGGTATCGGTTACTATGAAGCACAAGTTCAGCCCCTGTGTTAGAGCAGCTTTAGGAACCACAATCCAGCCAATTCTAGAGAAGTCTACTTAAGCAAGATCAGATTTCCAGAACTCTTATTTCTGCCCCAGACCAAAGACTACTTATAAAAACTCAGTTTGGGTATTTGTCAGAGTTGACAGTCTAAACGTCACTTTAAAAGTGACAACATGGAGAGTAAGTCTATTCTAAACAGAACCCCCCCCACACTGTTTCTTCATAAAACTACTAACATTATCATAAGGGGATAATGTCTGAAGACCACTATTGTGACTTGAAGTTTGAAAAGACTAATGATCTCCAAGAAGCTCCACATGTGTGCATGTACCTAATTCAAGCAAGAAGAACTCACTAAAGCTGGTAAACAGCCAAATGTTGCTTCAACACTTCAAACTAAAGTATTATTATTAGGGGACAGACCACATTCTTACAGCCAGCGGTACGCTTACAACATGGAAATGAGTGGCTCTGACTATTTAGTCTCAGTTTTTCTATATTTGTATTTTCACAACATCAGGAATCTGATTTTGAAGGGTTTTTTTTTTTTTGGTCTGTTTGTTCATTGGTTTTATATGAACGCGTGACATTATCTCAATCTGTCAAACAAGAAGATGGAGGAAGAGAGTATTAAATTTCCATACTGGACAGATCAAGTGCAAATGCAGTCCTTTCTGTGGCAGATACCATAGGAAATCAAGTCAATTTAAATAAATACAGCACTGAAACAGAGTTATCACATTAGGCCGCTGCTACATGAAGCAACGTCTACTGTTTGTGGGTTTGTTTGTTTTTTTAACTGACATTTTAGACATTGATGAGCTCAGGACAGAAACTACAAGTGTAAAGACAACTCTGTACAGGACTGTTCACATTCTAAATGCTTTAAAGACAATTGAGCTCTGTATGTCCCACTGTTACAGTGTCACATGTGTTTATATATCTTAAGAGCGAAAGTTCAAACAAGCAGAAGTTAAGCTGCCCCAGAACTTCCTGAACAGCCCTGATTAGGCCCTCTTGGGCATATGCATTAGGATGTAATCTAAACGATCAAACACTATCTCGTCTACAGGATTCCTGTTTCAGTGTGCAAAGTAGATAATGCTGCCTTAATGAAACTGCATTCATGTCTTCTAGAGGGGAACCCCTCCAGCCAATTAGGATTTATTTTAACCACAGGCTCCTAATGCTATTTTAAGTATGAATGCCCAGCACTTCTCTAACCTGACCACCCCAGTGAAAGCAACCTGTTAATCCATTTTTGAGAAGTCTGATTTAAATTTTTCATTTTGCTTCCAAATTCTGGAATAGAGACTTGTTCAGCAGTGTTCAAATGCTCTGTCCTGCAGCTCCTCGCTCTGCTCGTTACAGCCACTCTAGCTCAAAGTGGCTGGAGCAAAAATTCTGCTGGTAACCTTGACTCAGCTCAGCACAAGCCTGTCCTGCACCCAGAATTAGGCAGGTATACAAAAGGTAAGTGTATACGATTGTTTAATTAAAGGCTGTATCATGAATCAAATCATGGGGTAAGTAAAGATTTTATTAACAATTTAAAGGTAGGAAGTGTCAGTATTAAACTTCACCACCAATGCCATTTTAATTTTTATTTAAGTTAAGCATTAAACTAAAAGCCTTCACAGTATAGCATTGCATTAGCCAATGAATGGAACTTCTTAATCTGCGGGCTAACCATCTATCACGTGGCTCAGTGAAGTAACTCATAGCTGGTAGGTCACCATTACGTATGATTTCCAGCACTTGAAAAAACAAGAGACATTTTGTTTATAGATTTTACTGACAGTTACTGACAGTAAGACTTGAGCAAACTGGATTTCACTTCCCGTTTTCACAGGAAGCAGGCTCTAGTGAAGAAGCTGCTGCCTACTCTTTCTGAACACATTTCCCTGCACACCAATGCACTCCTTCCTTCTCCACAAAGGGTCAGTTCCCAAATGATCTACATCCAGGTCTTCTTTCATTTTCTGCCCATACCCAATAACCTACTCCCTCAGCCAGCTGGCTCCTAGTCCCTATTTCCATTTCCCTCACCAGATTCCCACCCTTCATCCCCAAGTCCACATACTCCAGAATTTCTGGCCCAGTTGTCTTTAAAATCACATTTTTAGATGAAGATTAGCTGTCTCAAATTTACTCTTTCTCAATCCAGCTTTTTCCTCACTGCGTTTTATTTAAAATTTTCCTACAAGGAAAAAAACAGGAGAGACTAGCTCCATGTCCACAACTCCACCTTCCAGTCTCACTCAACTGAACAGGGATCCCAAAGATTTTCTAGTGTCCCCTGATCCTGAAATGAAGCACATCAAGCACTGCAGGAGGATGGCCCAGGTCATAATAAATGGTGAGCACAGCACACTTATCACCACCTGTAGGGCTACAAGGGGAAGCATACCCAGTAGCTGTTTGGTGGCACAATACACACCTGCCCAGGTCAGGAACAGAAGAATTAAGAAGCTCAAGCATGTGCATGACAAGATGAATCTTCAGAAAAAATAATTGTTACGATAGAGCTATAAAGCTAGGAAATATATCAACAGCTGTTTGCAAGAGTTTGTAACTCAAATTGTGGTGGGCTGAGCAGGGAACAAGAAGTACTTCCTAACAAAAACAACCCTCCAACCCCAAAACATTTCTACCAAATTTCAAGTCATTACTTCAAAACACAGGAGTCACTGGCCTATTCAAAAGAAAAGCTTAATGTTTTAGCATGTGCAAAATAACTTTTTTTTTTTGCTGTTTTCCCCTACCCTCCCAGAGGTATACATGGTATACACAGTAAGAGCCATGTGGAACAGAAAGAATCTCAAACTTGTCCCTACACGTCCTATTAACAAGTCATGTTACTATCAACAATTACAATAAAAGACAGTTCAAGATTACTCAAAAAAAAAAAAAGCAGCTATACAAATGAAACCTGGCACAGATAGATGTTCCTTGCAAAGAATCTAAACACTAAAACATGGAGTAAGATACCCGTAAAGAAACAGCTCCATGGTAATAACCTAAAACCCAGGACTTTTTGCAGCATGCAGAGGGAATGCCCCGAGGAGTAGGAACAGAGAGCTACAAAGAGCACACAAACCATTGCACATAGGAAGGCTGGAAGAAAGCCACCATACTGCAGTTTCAGACGTGCTGAACTGCAGAACTTTCTAAAAGATCGGCACACTTTGAAGGAGCCACTTGAAAGCCCAGCACAGAAACAACAGGACTAGAAATAACAATGGTAAAATAGGCATGAGCACAGAAAGAGAGATTCTAGGACTCAAAGTCTTTAATGACCATCGCGTGGTCATTCATTCTGTAAGGACAACAGCCTGACAAAAGTAACGAGGGTCACTATACTTCTCACTTCTTTTTCCCCTTCTAAATGTTCTCATATTCTGCCATACGCAGATCCCCTCCTCCCCCCAGTTTAGTAGAATCTATAATTATTTATTCCTAAGAGAGCCAACATTTTCTTCAAGTCTTAAACTAACCTAGCTTAGGTTAGTTTTCACCTGATCAGGCACAGTGTTTTCAAATGCACATATTAACATAAATCATTTTGCAAACATTTTTCAATGCCTAAAAAGGGGTATCCTTTATAATATATCTAAACAAGTACTTTTAGTGTTCATCTTTTACCTTAAGACAAACCACGAGGTGTCAAGTGTATGACTCAGACATAATTCAGAACAAAGAACCTTGCACCTCAGCATACTAAGCTGCAAATTTTCATGGTTACTACCATTGCGTTATTAATTGAACAGAAGAAGGAGATTTCATATTTATCTCCCCCGCATGCAACAAGAGAGCCAAACTCTACACTTATGTGTTACAATTCTGTTGCATTCAAACAACATCCTGTTTGATCCCATTACAAAATTATTTTTAAGGACTGTTTTTGTTCAAGTGCCTTCTCTTTTGTTAAGTTGTATGAATGACGTAAAAACAAATACTGCACAAACTACTTTTCTACAGCAGCTTGTATTGAAAATAACAATTCTGTTGTGCTAGATGTTGTTAGCACTTTGATAACAACTGTGTAATAAGGATGTTATGCACAAATGGACCATGTCATATTAAAAAGCAAAGCTTTCAACACGTTTTTTGAAGGCCAAGCATAACTAATCACTTGCAACAAATTACTACTTTTAACACACAAGATGTATCTTGTTTTCGTTTTACCAAACTTCTCCTTGGTAAACAAAATCCTTACCTCCAAGTAGCTCTATATTTATAATTTTTTCAGTTTTGGAGGGAAAAAACACCCTCCTGAAACTGTAATGAGAGCATCCTCAATAGATAATTTGGACAGTCTTACCAGCTACTCTCCCCTCTGCCTTAATCTCACCTAACCTAGGAGCTCTTCTCTATCCTCCAAGGTTTATTAGTGTTCCTCGCTGCAGTCTCAGCCTAAATGGAAATTAGCAGAATGCTTCCAACACAATTCAAATGTACAAGCTTCGCAAGTCCTCCAGCTGTTTTCCACTTCTCAACCCTTCTTTAAATATATTTAGGCGTAACATTACTTAGACTTCTAGAACTGCTGCATCTATGCTGTAAAATGTTCTACCTTGGCATCTTTTCAAAGGATTTGATGAGAAGCAAACCTACCAACGTAAGTTCAGTATTTTCTGTTTCAGAGCAAGAGGGAAGACATGCACTAGAAATTGGCTGCCCCCAAGCATCAGTAACAGCTAAGCTATTATAAAAAACAGGCATGGGCAAAACCACTATGAATTGCAGAACTTCAGCTAGTCTATACCAGCATTAAATACACTTAATGATTAAGACACCCAGACGAGATCTTTTTTTTTTTTTTTTTTACACATTTTTGATTATTCTTAATCACTAGCACGTTGATTTAAGTTGTTTCTAGCAGCAAGAAAAATAATGAAGTAGCTTTTATCTTCCCCAAAACCCTACCTACATCCAAAACTACATTATAACCAGAATCTATTGACCTGCCTCACAATAAAACACCAGCTAGAAGTCGCCACACCCTTTAAAAACAGTTGTGCGCTTGAGCTGAGATTTTCCCTTTTCAATTATTGTGTATTTAAGTAATAAATTGCATTCACTGATCAGAAAGGAGAATTCATTAGTATATTCATCCTTATACAAGAATATTGAACAGGTATTAAGTTTGTTGGGAGTTTATCACAGTCGAAGTTTATTCCTACACTGCACATTTGATCAACTTAATTTTAACAGTACCATTCCATTGTGACAGCAGTAAAACAACTACTTACGTTGTTGATTTCTTTTGTCACTGGCGTTTTTCAAAGGAAGGCACACAGGACAGTCGTGCCGAGTACAATTCTTCCAGTGGGAGATGATTTGTCTTGAAGATGCACAATGAGCAACTGTAACAAGGAAAAGCAATAGAATTAAGGTCACTTCTTGGTTAACTCATCTCATTTTTTAAAGTAACTCTATTCTTTCTCCTTTACAGGCAATACTGTATATATAACTAAACACAGCTAAATGCAACTAGAATTTTTTGGGACCCACCAATAATGCCATAACAAAGGAAACTAGTACTAAAATCTAAGAAACTCTACATGGCTGAGTTGCAGGCAAACACATGGTGGATATTACATCCTCTTTATAGAATGGAGGAGATGAAAAAGAGGCTTTCAAGGCTACTGTTGGTACTATCCTACTTCTAGGATAGGCAAATATTGCATTCTGTTTTCTAAACTGACAACTATGAAGAGATCAGAAATGGAAACCGAGCAAAGGTAATGAAAAAGGGAGCAGCTGTTTAACTAAAGAACCAGTTTTGGCACTCATTTGTGCCAGGTATAGGGATCTTCTTGACAAGAAGAGAAACGCTGCTGACAAATACGCAAGAAACCTTACACAGCTCATTTGCAAGAGTAGCTTCAGCAACATGCTCTCACCTTGACAGGCCTTCCCAGCTTGACAGTGTGTCATGTGGTTGAGGACGTTTTTCATGGTTCGACAGTGCGGGAGAGCACAGGCCCGCACCTCTCCATTTGCTTGCTCACGCCTCTGACATTTGTGAGCGTGAAGCAGCAAAACCAACTGCTGCTGGATCAGTTTGCGCTTCTCCGGATCTGCTGTTGGTCCAGTTGCCATTGCCTGCGTCGGTACGATCCCCACTTGCTGTACCTGGGTTTGCATCTGGGACTGAGAGAACAGATAGATTAGCATCGCGTTTGCAAGTCTCAATTCTGATCTTAATCTTGTATAATAATTCGAGTATCACAAGACTATTTGCCAAGCATTCTGCTACGACTGGCTACGAGGATTATTATGCCAGTCTCCGTAGCATTCTCAAACATTTCTATTCTAACCTTGGAACAGCAAAAACGTATTGAGAGGTTCCTCTGTTAAGACATTTACAAACAATAGTTTAAATAACAAGCCATCCAAAATCTTCTGTTTATTAGACAGATCATAATTCCAACAGGAAAGAGCTCTTACCACACTTGGAGGTGAAATTCAAGTCTGTTTAGTATTATATTTTCATATTATAGGTTTTATACACTTCAATCCTAGTTTCTTGTCCCCAACAGAAGGAGGAGTCCAATGGGAAAAGACAGTCAAAATTATATGACTATTACAGTAAAAGGTAGGCTAATTTAGGCTTGGAAAATCAGTTCTTTCTTCTCACAAGTGCGTGCTGATATTCCTTTCACAGAGAAAATTTCCAAGGTAAGATGTATACAGTTTTCTTCCAGAAAGGGCCACCTAAATCTGGGTTGCACTTTGTCTACTGAAGTAAACTAGAATTAACTACAGGGTGACGCTAGGTTGTATCAGCTTGTAAAAATCTGATATCTTATTTCCAGCATCCATTCTTTACGGACACACTTCTGTACCAGTGCCCGAGCCCTGCCTGACAGAGCGTGCATACCCACCGAGATCTTCAGACTAAGACACGGCTCGTAACAGTGCGGAAGAGATAAATAGCTTCCTTAACATGTCATTTCTTCAGCACAAGTTTAGAAGCTTTTCAACTACCTTCTTGGACCTTTGAAGACCAACATATGTAGAAACCTGATTTTCAAAATTAAACACATCCACAGCCTGCAACAACTCCACTAGCAGGAGCAGATATGGGACTGCAAAAGTGCTTAAATCCCTGTGATTTGCAGCCTGAATTAATCTCATGGACAAATATGAAACTGTCCCAAGAATCACGTTGATTATGCACTGTAAATATAGGTTACCACAGAAAAGCTCACCAACTTCCAAGCTACCTAAGGAAAATCGACCATTAAAAACACTTATAAATAGAATATAGCAAGAACAGGATTATACTGGGGAGGTAACAGAGGAAATAGTTCAGTGCTGTCTACAGAACCACTGACCAAAGCCTGCTTACTACATTTAAGGAAAATCACCCTTAAGTGACAGAACACACCATTTGTAGCGCACCCTACTTTTGACCTTTGAGAAGGACTCCCCAGAAAATTCCACAGCCTACAAAACAGAGCACATTACAGCAACAAAACTAATTTTCTTAGGTTAACAAAAGGTTCCCTGGCACAAGTGCTCACTACTCCAGCAGCAAGCTTTGTCCTCAGCTTTGCCACCTGCACATCTGGTTTTAAAGAGCTAGCTTTTCTTCCGGAGAACGAAGCGCACAAGATCAAGTAGAAAACACAATGTCTGGTATTCGATGGAGGAGGTGGGGACTCTGACACTGATAATGATTATATAGTAAATCTTAAAGAGGAATTGCTGCATCTGTTTGTCTTGAGCTTGCAAGAAAAAGAGCAATAAAAGGAAAGGGGGCGAGGGAAACCCATCCACTTTTGCTCCCAGTGCATGCAGCTGAAATTAAGTCTTCCATTTCTTCTGTGAACAAATCTACAAGAGCAGACAGGTTTTGCTGAAACAGTTCTTGGGTCACAAATAGGAAACAATTAGTTCAGCCAATCTGCAGAAAAATACAGAGACCATGCCAAAAAAAATCTTGTTGGAAGCAATGTTTTCATCCCAGTCAAAGAATTGTTTCCCAAGCCAAAGTTCTCCTTTTGTTACTACCCTACCAGTTAACAGACGTGACTACAGCTGTGTCAGCTCAGATATAATGCCCTGACCCAAAGGGACTTCTTGAAGATTGAGTAGCAAAAAAGCAGAATCGTGGAGTATCAGTAGTTAGAAGAACAAGCAGTCTCGGTCCAGATGAGTGTGGGCAGGTAGGCACAAAAAAAGAACTCAGAATACTGCCTAAGCTCGATACAGTTATGTTGGTCACTATTTCAACCTTGTAAAGTCCTAAACCTGCAAATACAATGAATGATCTCTCCACCGTCTCACTTTCAAGACTGTTGACTGTTTGAGGAAGTTGATCTCTTCCCTGTTAGTTTGTCTTTTAAGAACAGTGGTCTGCGCAGGACCAGTTCAAAACAGGAGATATGCTAGTGCACTGCAGTCACGCCAAAGGTGCGTAAATCCTCTATCAACCACAGAAAACCTTCCATCCCAGAACGAGCGGGAGGCTTCACGTTGCTTCACCTGAACGACTAACAATTTTCTTGATGAAGCAAGAAATTCAGACACTTCTGCTCCCACAGTTAAAATAAATGCTTCAATGGTCAGATACAGGAGGAAAAAAAGATGGGTTTGCTTCTCTTGCTCCCTTGCTGAACGCCACCATAAACAGAACAAACAGATCAGGGGTTGAACGTCTGCTACAACCTCCGACAGAGATGGTAGCTTCATTACCAGTTTTCTAGAAACAGAGTAATACAACACTTCTATAGTGTAAAGCAGCTATTAATACCATTTACAATTACGGAAACTATATATTCATACAGGAAGACAGGTCTGCCCTGTCCCTATTCTGAAAAGCAAAAACTTCCCGTGCTTCTGGGCAGCAGATGCACAAGTATCTCATCTTCATGGACTTGGATGGACACAAAGTTCCCTGGCAGTTTTACTTTACTGAGATGACCAGTCATCCTCTGTTTTGACGTGTTTATATTCAAAGGCACTCAACATTGCCTGTCAAGATCAAACACTACGTACCCTTTCTTATAAAAGCAGGCACCAATTTCAGTAGCACTGGTAATCTTTCAACAGGTAAACAACCTGATACAGAACTCGTATCAGCCTAACATTAGGTTTTTAAAATACATTTCCTCTTCCATAATTTCTTTTTATTTCCATGTTCTTCCCTTCTCTCTGATAACAGAAGGCCACTTTCTGGAATCACTGTAATAGGACAAATCCTGCATTTAAAAAATGCCTTTTAGTTCTTTAAGACAGGTTTGTAATCAACAGTGGACCTTAGCGAGATAAATCCACTGCCACGAAGGATTACTACTTTGATACAGTTGTTTTATAGACCTTCCCTCACCCTAACCAGAAGGCAGGCAGCACTTTATACTTGGGGTTTCTCAGTCTGTTGACATCTTGGACTAGAAAAGGGATACGATTTACTAGTGACAAGAGATTTTTAACATGTCATCCACGTATCCATTTACATTATAGGCACATCCAGTCTATCAATTAAGACTTTAAAAAAACCAACCCTTGCAGTATCTGCAGAGAGTAAGGTGGCATCCTGCCTTCACTCATGCAGGAGTACATAAGGTGAAACACATCCAAACCTCTTCAGTTCCCCTTCAACCACAGGCTTAAAGTGGGATCTTGGGGGTCCCTTTCAGAGAAGGGATAGTGGGCATAAAGTGGATATACGCATGAACTGTAATTCTAATTAGCAACCTTTTATCTGAATTAAGTATTCACAGTGTGGTCAACTCCAATCATGTACCCCACATATCTACACTATTATCGAAAGAAGTCCTTCCTGCAAATAGGGATTGCAGGAATGCTCTCATAAGCATTGAACCAGCTCTGCACAGCCCAGGAAGCACTCTTCTGTCACAAAACTGCAATGAGAGCTCAAGCAGCAGCTATCTGATGGCATCAAGGAAGGAGGCATTTCTCAGTGTTGTCACTTAATGAACCCAAGCTTTCTCCAGTGACTACCAGAGCTTCACTGTGAAAGCGACACAGAACCAGTTTATACTTCTTGCAGTTCACTCTCATATTCTCCACGTGGATGGTGGTTTCTCTGGTTCCACCAGTTACTGTTAACAAGCATGGTCTCAACAGCCTGGTCCTATCCACACAGGAAGAATCCTTGTGACACCAGGAATCTGAAGGTCTGCTTTGGCTCCAGAGATCCATGCACGCACAGAACAGGCTGACACGACTGGAATACAAGCACAAGCGCTTGCGTTTGTGCCCAATAACGCTACAGTGCTGTATTTTCTCATCCAAGTAGCAGGAGGAATCAGAATCTGAGTCTGTATGGTGGGCAGAAGACTTGAAAGGGGAAAAAAGTCTTCCTGAACTGGACACAGCCTCAGAAAGTGGTCATGCTCTCTGGAGAGAGATCAATTCCGGTGGCAAGAAATTATATTAGCCTGTTAGTAGCACTAATCTGAGAGCTTGCAACGCGGCTAGCAAATGAGAAGAGAGGTAAGGTGATACTCCCAGCTCCTGCATACAAAGCCAATACGATGCACGGTCTTAACATGAAGAATAAGTTCAAAACCCAAGGTTTATTTCAAAGCTCTGGCATTGACATGGCTACAGGCAGAGTTTTCATATCAAGAGTGAAGAGGAAGATTTCAATCTTCCAACTTTCACTTAGCACTATGGAGTAAAACTTCCACCTCTGAAGCTGGTACTGGGGAGTGAGCCTCGCGAGCCCACAGCAACCACAAAAGGCAAGAAGGCTCCTATGGTCATGCCATAGAAGGAACCTGAATAGTTGGTCCTAGAGACTGTCCTCAGCGCACCTGGCTTTTAATTGCTAAAAGAGTTTTCTTCTAAAACCAGCAAATGCCTCAATATTACGCAGTTGAGACTGCTGGGAACCAAGGCTGGATCAACGTCTTTCTTAGGGATAAGCTTTTGGATTTTTATCTCCTTGTCCTTCTGATTTGAAGGACCAGCAAATGCCAAGAAACACACAAAGAAGCGTTTCAAAGCAACAAAAAGGGACAAAACTTGATGCAGGAATCTGCAGACAGAGTCCAGCTCTCACATACAGAAAGTTACCCGAACAAAATTTTAAGAGAGGTTTATATAGGATTTACTGAGTGATAAAACAGACTGAGGAATGATCAACATTAAAAACCCCAAATAGCAAATCTGTGGAT